TGATGTATCTCATTTCCAATCTGAAATATTGTGCACTATCAATAATGCTCAAAGACTATTGTTTTAATCCGTCTGCCTTGCAAACTTGAGGTAATAATTACATAGTATCGGAATATCGGCTTTTTTCCAAATATCTGCGTTTTAGTTGATATCGGATCATTATCGGAGACAAAAGTGGTATCGGTACAACTCTAGTTCTTACTGCTCGGTTACTCTGATTCAGATATTTATTTTTCAGTATGCAAGAATCGATGTACGAATTGAAATAGGAATAATCACACGAAACGGACACAATCACGACATATCACATGGCGCGACAGCGCGACAGAAATAAAGACTATACTGATAATATTTCTTATAAATATGACTAAGCATATCATGAAAGCGATTTAGAATCGAAACGACCGGAGCTGTAGGCCAGGTTAAACATAAATATTAGGAACCGTTCGTAGGGGGTTCAAGACGGACTTTTTCTATGCAAATTCACAAAAAGCACAAAATAGCACAGCTGTACCGGGATCAATCTAGTGCCGCACCTCTACCGGTACGGTGGTAGGATGAGGATAGGAAACACGGGTGAGTATACGGTATACTACTACACCTATAAGAGATCTAATCCACTTGCCGAAGCAGACTAAAAGAATACATAGGTATCCGGGTATATTTTTTTCAAGGTGACCGTACATTTGAACCCACGTACATTTGAACCCATGCGTATATCCGCGGGTTCAATCTATATGCGGGTGCTAAAACCCCTGGGTTAGGGTGAGTATGGGTTCAAATATCCGTAAAACAAAAAAAATTCCATAGGTGCAATAGTATGCAGGTGCAATTGTCATGGGTTCAAATGTACGTGGGTTCAAATGTAATGGAACCTTTTTTCAAGGCTTATTTGAATGAATTGTAATTATTAATTCGAATGTTATCATGATAGCTGCAGCTATTGCATTCCATAACTTAACACCTGAGTATTTGGTACGCTTGGTCGAAAAATGAGTTACATAATAGAAACTACAGGCAGAGGACCGTGTTCTGTAAGAATGCACGGTAGCCTACTTTGTTTCAAGAAATAATCGGTGAATGTAACAGGATGTTTTTGCATAAACTTCAAAATCTCTCGTTTATGAATATGTACCATTTGTTGTGCATTGAGGTCCAATACCAGAAACAGCACGCATGGCTCTATTCTGAATTATTCCGATTCGTCGTAAAAGAGTTTTATCAGCTGAGCCTAATGCAAAAATATCATATTGATTATGGGTCTGGAATAGAAAGTGGTAAACCATGCCAAATATGTTATCGGTATAAAATGCCCAAGTTTGTACAGTATTCCAACCGACTCAGCAGCCGAAATCGTTATGTGAATATTTCATTTCATTTGACCATTTAAATATATGACCAGATATTTATAAGAATTGACATTATCTAATGTAGTACTGTCAATTTGAACTAACAAATTATATTAGGTTTTATGTTTATTTGGTGAAAAGGCATAGACTTAGATTTATCAATATTCAATGTCAGTTTATTATCCTTCATCCAGTTTGCCACTTTCACAATTTCAGAGTTCACTCTTGACTAAATAGCTGGTATAGCTCTGTCACTATCAAGAAGAATAGTGTCATTAGCAAATAGTTTTAAGAAGAATGAAGAAGGATTGGGCTTGGGGGCTCGCAGTCGCCCCCCAATAATTTCGTCTATATTCAAACATAAGTTGTTTTCGCTTCACAAAATTATCATTTCCGTGTGCGATGGTCGAGCGCGAACAAATGGGAAATAGTTACCAATATTATAACTGTTTTCATAGGTTACCGTACATTTGAACCCATGTGTATATCCACGGGTTCAATCTATATGCGGGTGCTAAAACCCATGGGTTAGGGTTAGTATGGGTTCAACTATCCGTAAAACAAAAACAAAACTCATAGGTACAATATAGCCAACAGGTGCAATTGTCATGGGTTCAAATGTACGTGGGTTCAAATGTAATGGAACCGTTTTCATACAATAATGTACACGAGAGCGCCGCCGACCACGCGCTTTGGTTTAGCTCGCCCTTTCGCGTTCAACGTTACGCCCTTATTATTGTCACAGGTATTCTCACTTTTGCACAACCTAATTCTTTTTTGTTACAATTTGTTTCTCCCATTGCCAAAATCATTCAATAGTGTTATTGTCGGCACTTGCGAGAGAAATGAAGGGAAAAAAACTGTATTTCATTGCAACAATTAATTATTATCGCTAGAAAACACTAAATTGGTTTAAAGTTGTTATAAACGGCTGGACGTAGGCTATCTTTTCACGTTATGAATTTCGTGCAAGGCCCGAGCATATATTGATGGCAATGATCATAGCATTTACTATGTCGAAACGCTTATTCGACTTTTCAGATCGCAGAAACTATTTGTGTTCGAGCAGTGGTGAGCTGTAGCCGGAACGCACCGGAACGGCGTTCCTTTTGTTGGGCATTTTATTGCATTTGCGTTCCCGTTGTTAAAATAAAATTAATGTACAATAAGTTCAATTCTTCTGGTGAATCTAGTTATTAATTTATGTTTTGTCATATCCTAATTCTTTATTTATTTTACATCACATCACGCAAAAAATTATATATTAGTACATCAGTAACGTGTAATAGATGTTTCCCCTACCTTTGACCTAATGGAAATTCATCTCATACCTTGTTAATAATAACATTTGTAATTGCTATGAATATTCTTGTAATTTTACACAGACATAGTTCAGATAATTTTTTCATATTTCATTGTAGTTCTTCGGCTCTCTCAGGCCAGACAAAACTTTCTGTAAACGTCCGCGTCGTGTTGTAAATATATTAAATTTTTGCGAATTAAGTGCGTTCCGGTTGTTACAATTTTTCCAGCTCATCACTGTGTTCGAGATATGAAATAATCGTCAATGCCACCACGCTTTCGTGAAGTAACACAATTTACTAAATTTAATGAAGGTTTTATCAAGTTTCATTGCATCAGTGTTTGGACTACCACGCGTTTCGCCAGATTACTAGCGTGATAACAGATCGTAAGGGAGGGCAAAATAGAATATTTTCATCAAATCAAATAATTCGAATATTTTTAACGAATTGTCGAATATAGGGTATATTTAGTATATATACAACAGGCATCCAGAACGCTAGACATTCTAATGTTGGTGAGCTATTTCCATCCGTCCTCTTTTTTACAAGGACCAATTATTACACAACGGCGAACGTCGAAGTTTGGCTTTATATTCCTGGGAGAACTATGCGTTCATATGTTAAAAACAACTATCAAGGAGTGAATCCGGGATTTTATTCCGATTTTTATCTTTTGCACAGGCTTTGATCTTTCCCCCCATCGTTTGTACATTGAGGGTCCAAATTTTAAGCTAACAATATTATCATTTCTGACGCCGGAATGCGGATGTCTGTGAAGACGATAGTTGACCTTCCTATGATTTTACTTTTCTATTGTACCTGTTTTGTTTTCGTATTAAATAGTGAATAAAAACCCGGCAAAGTCATTGCGTTAATTCTGAATGTTATTCTGAGTTTAAATATTAATTTAATAAGTCGGCAATAATGACAATTATATTAGTCAAATATTAATTCTTTGGTAAAATTTGGCACAATAATACGTTACCTTGTTTGACATTTTCAATTTCACAAAACTGTGTCGGCGTGCTTTATGCAAAACTTAGAATTGAAACAATACCCAAATACGACTCCTCACATTTTTCGTTTCTGTTTGTTAGCAAGAGCCGTGGGGTAATTCTCGCTGAATTCAGGGGATTGGAAATTGGAATTACTTGAAATAAATTCAAAAATGGAATACGGCACACCAAAATGATTTCGCGGCATATTGCACGGTCGCTTGGAACCACTGCTCTATGGGGAGGGGTTAGTAAAATAACTGGTTAAAAGTGACAACTACATACCGAGGCATCGCTTCGAATATCGCAAAGGGCAAGAAGCCAGCTACATTCTCGTAGGAGTTTCTTAGAACTTCCGCAGACCGTCATTAATTCCGGTTTTTGGAATTTAGCAATGGCATTTCCAGGAATTTATCTAAGCTGCAGTCGTCTGGAATTTAGCAACGACATTTCCAGGAAATTATCTAACTCATAAATAGTAATTGAGTAGTAATATTTATTTATCACCATGTGAGAATTAAGAACTCATTTACAAACAGAACAACAACAAAAAACTATGAATGGTTGAAATTTTAGTAAAAAAGTTATGAAAAATTGGGCGTAGCATATGATTTTCAAAGCGATACATAAATTTAGCAATCTCAGAAAGATACTCCACACTGCTTGTATAAAAGTGAGTTATGAACGTGCTATGATTCTGCAAACAGCATGCAGCGAATTGCCTTGTTATGCAACTATAGTAGCCTAGTGATTTTAGCGTAGTTTTATTACTTCCTCCCCAACTGATGATGCCATATTCAAAAATGAGAGAATATAAGACTACAGTATACAATTTTTAATGCATCGATACTGAGGATTCTACGTATTTTATACAATAAAATTAAATTCTTGTTCGTTTGATTGAGTAGGTATGACGTGGCATTTTGTCACGGCTTTATTTTCCTTAGTCTACTCAGGTGATTTTTCCTAGGGTTTTGTTAAATACGATATACTGCACACAAAAACTTTCAAATTGCGCCCCTCAATGAAATCTTGGGTACGCTTTTCGCATTATTTGAGAGGTCAGCAAGGCGTCGGCGGTACTATCCTTGTTTTTTTCGTGCGTGTTATCATTACTTCGTATTTACCATTGTTTTAATATATCCCAGCTGCGCGATGACGTTTGAATCACATTTGTACAATCGCGGAATACAACTGTCGCTGCTGCAGCAGAAGCGAAATACGCTGCCTATGGGCGAAAAGCACTATAATCACAGCGCCGAGATGTTTGTCAACAAACTTGTTGGAAATAGCGAATTCGGCCCACTAGCACGATGAAAACGTGCTCCCCCACACTTAAAATAAGAAATCCGTCATATTTATATTTTATTAAAATTCTTGGCGGTACAACGCCACTGTTGAAACGGAGATTTTCCCACCCAGAATAACGTTGTCGCAGCCACATGGCTGTTGCCTTGCGAGATCCAACATTTTTACAAGTACGATATTAACCAACAGAATAACGTAGGACTAAAGTCCAGATCATATATTAAGAACCAAATCCACAGGTGGAAGATTGCTTTGATTACTCACTTAAAGATTACTTCATTTTTAACAACAACAGTCAACGTCCCTTTCAGGCAATATACTTGAATAAATCAAACAAATTCGAATAAAATTAAACAAATTCCCCTGAATAAAAGAGATAAATATTTTCATATCAGCATCCCCAGTGGTCGTACGTTTTTCGAGTCTATGAATTTCAGCTCCGAATTAAAAAAAAAATTGTGTTCCTTGATGAACCCAGTATAGCTAATTCGAGATTTATCACTTCTCATCCTGTTTACAAGGGTTAGATCAAATGATTGACTGATGTTGATATGATAAAACTTGAAAATGGGCATTATCATTTATATTCTCGTATTGCTATGTATTACTGGGAGTTGAAACATCCATATCAAATTCAAGATTGTTTTGAGGCCTAAGCCCTCCATTCACTCCGAGCTTCCCTGTGTTGTTAAAAAAATTAATTAAAATTACCCATATCCTGAAAAGCAGTTGGAAACATGTTGCTGATATTGTCAGTTTCAACGAACAACCATGATTACTGACATGGTAGTTCGTTTACAAGTTATTCTGAAACACGTCATAGAACTCAAAGAAAAGGGTGTTACAGAAAAAAAGTGCAATTTTCAAGAAACACTGCTTGCTTAGCAGGGTTAGATAGCAGTAAAAGCACAATTAAGCTAGAACACTATCTCAAGATCAAATTTATTGTTTATGAAATATCTTATTGCAAGATGAAGGGGAGCAATTATTTTTTTGATCAAATCATAGAAAGACCATATACATTTTAAGGTAGCCCAAGCGACAAGCACTCACATGGTTTTAAGGTAAATATTGAGGGCACACATAAATAGCAAACTTTGAGTTTTGAAAGTTAACCACTTTTACTTTGAAAAACCCTACTTCAGATTTAAAATAGAGGATATGCAATGCATGTACAACTTTACACCACAAATCCAAAAATATTCTCACAGATTCTCGGTTACCCCAACCAAATAATGAACCTGCAAAAAATTAGGAACAAGCAAACTGCAAGATAAAAAGAGTACATACAGCTGAAGATATTGAGACACATATATAAAAGAGCCCTTATAGAGATGAATGCTGATCATATTTCAGAAATAAAATCATGGATTCATGATTGAAGCATACTCTTTTCAGTTATCATTCTAATTTCAATATAGAAATGAAATACCATGTTGTTACTAGTCATTAGATGGCATATGAGCCATGGAATCGAATATTCCCAATTCAAGTTTTGAAAACTGGTACAAGCCAGTAGTTGCAAGCAACATATTATGCAACTACGACCAAATGTTTGATTGAAAGCTATGTTTGACACATGCAAACTTAGACTAAACATCTATCTTGATAACTTTTGTGCAGATTTTCTTGTGAATATTAGGAACCAAGTACTTGAGTCGTTTACAAGTAATTTCTTTCACTTAATAGTGAAAGCTTGTTAAAAATTTGCACAAAGTATATTGAGCAAGTGACGCTCATGGATATCACAACATTAAAATAACAGATTTTGGAAATTTTAACCAAATTAAATGAGCCATTTTGTCACTACAAATTATTTGCTCATATTACATTGCTTTTACCATTTGAGTAGACGTATCTGGCACTACATGTTTGAGCATAAATGTTTATAAATGAGATTCGCTATGGCCCGAGTGTCTGGAAAACACATGATGGGTAAAATATTTTATTAAATGAGGTTTGTCAACGATCCAATTCCCTGGAATGCTTTATGCATGAAATACATACTATTTTTGCTTTCTGGTGATTCATACCCCCTGGAATAATGCTCCATGCCCTCCTTGGTTCAGGATATTTCCCCATGCATACCCGTTAGGCTAATGAAGGGAAACATTATGTAGGTAGAGGCAAAGGACAGGATTGGGATTCTTTGAAAATTTGGGAAAGCAAAAGCCATACAATTTGAGATATCAAGTGAGGTACAATACATAAGGACTATCGCTGGAATGTGATGATATTACTTCAACATGATAATTTCGATGTAATTAACTTTCATATTGGCATTTGTGAAACTCAGATACCCTTTCAGTCACTACGTAATAAAACAAAATTTGTAATGGGGAATAGATAAAAATGAAAACAAGCCAAGTCTGGTGCTTATTGATTGGGAAGTGTGCTACAAGAATTAATTGGTGAAATTTATATATCTGTCATCATTCTGTGGAATCAACACCAAAAAACATTTAAGAATACGCGAACATCCCCATAACCCAACCATCATTCAACTTTTGTTCAACAAAAATAAACTGGAGAAGTTTAAACAATCAAATTATGAAACAACAGTGCTAATGAAGTTAATTGCTATTCTCTCATGAGCAATTGCATATTAATGAGATAAACAGAACTCATAACTGTTTACATATTTATGTAGACGAGAATATTTAATGATCTGACATTATTTTTTCAGAAAATCATTTTAGAGTCTCTGACTAATATTACAAGATAGATATGTAAAGACATCTTATATATCAAGGCTGTTACGATTGTTTCAGTAACTTATACTAAAAACCATTGCTCAAGAACGAAAATTATTCTGTATCTGGTGGCTCACTGGATTAAATATTCAGAAAATTTATGATACCCCCTATACTTGTGATATGGTCTGTTGGATATCTATTTTTTTAAACATTGGCTAATTCTGGTCTTCTAGCTGGAGGCATGAAAAACTTGACAATAGGCACGTGGGTTTCTGTGGCGAACATGTCGTAACACAGGGAATTTATATTTGAACTCTGTGTAACCAACAAATATTAACATGGGAAATAAAAAAGATGGACAATACAGTTCAATTTTTTACAAAATATTATTAGATACCTAAAGTGATGTTTAAATTACACAAATCATCAAAACATTTTGCCAGGACGTGACATTCATATAATATTGTTTATTTATCAACTTGATATCTGGACAAAATATATTTTCGATTTTACTAATAACTCTGGGCTTAATGCAATGCAATTATGGTCAGTCAATATTATAATATTCGATAAAATTGGACAGTGAACACAGTAGTTGCATTGGATTATTAAAGTTCTACTGTTGAAATATTCAATTTAATAGCATTATTTGGCTTTGGGAGCTTGTGCTTGCAACCTTTTTTACCATATTTGAGTAGTGAAAATGGTTTCACTACAATGTTCAGACAGGAATTTCTGACATAGTCTTATGCCAATCAAAAGTTTCCCCCTGGGCGGCCCCTTGGTCCTCCACCCCTTCCGCGTCCTCCACCAAAACCACGTCCTGGACCACCACGTCCACGGAAGCCTCCACCTCCACGGCCCCCCCTGCCCCCACCAAAACCTCTACCTCCGGAATTGAACCCACCCCTCCCACGATTTCCCCCATATCCACCCCCACGGCCACCAAACCCTCTACTACCATATCCCCCCATATTGCCACCTCCAAAACCACCATCACCATATCCCCCCTGATCGAAACCCCCTTGACCCCCACCATATCCAAAATCTCCATATCCCTCATTGGCAGCTGGGTCATATTTTTGAATAGGGCCTTTAGGTGGAGCATTTTCCAGGAGATCGAGAATCAGCTTGATACAATCGGATACAACATCTGGTTTGCCGGACACTTGGCAAACTCGGTCTGTGGAATTAGGGCAGCACTCTTGGTGAACTTTAATGACTGCTCCAGTCTTTTCCCTCAATTCTTTTATCTTGAACCCCTTGACCCCAATAATAGAGCCAGCTTGGCTTTGGTGGACCAGTAATTTTACGCTAGCTTCAAATTTATCGGTGCGCCGTTCTTCGTTGATTGAGGGTATGACACGCAAAATTATTTCACCACAGCTTTGAATATCTGTGAGAACACGAAGGACTCGATCGCCAGTGTTGCTATCAGGGATCTGGATTTGGGCTTTAAATTGCTGGCGCATATCCTTTATATTGGTACCGCCCTTACCGATTATACCGCCGGCACTTTTTGAAGGAATGAGGCATCGCATTTCTACTCCACCAATTTCGCCTCCTCTGGATTTCTTGGCGGGATTGGCACTTCCGTCGAAACCTTGATACGAGCGTTTATAGCTGTTTTCTTCATATTGAGCTGCTCCGTTACCACCGCAGTAGTCTGCCATATCTGTTAGTATGTTTGTAAACAGTTACAATACGCTAATAAACACAGCGAAAGCAAACGACCGATAAAGTACTAGCGAAGAAAAGCGACGCTTGGTTGCGGTCACGTGATCCGATCACACATGCGCAAATCGAACTGATCGCAGAAAGAAAAAGGCTAATTCGCTTCATCGATTTTCGGAAGGCTTGTGCGATCGGGGTCAATATGATATGTAGGTTTCGGAATTAAAAAAACGGCTTGATTCCATAAAGAAGACAATAATTCAAATAACACAGGTCGATTGTACTACGGTCGACGCAGCCGAGCAAGGGTTATTGTCTGCGCGTTTTGGACGCCGGTCCGTATATTTTGGCAGGCCTTATTACGTCACTGTGACGTAATTTTTAGATGACGTAGTCAGGTGGAGTTGGAACAGTGATTTCCCTACACCCCCCCTATAGGGGGTGAACACCCCCCCCTAAAATTTCAAACACCCCCCCCCTAATTTTGAGGTGCGATTTCACACTGAGGGGTTCTAAACCGCAGTCTGCGGGCCAATTACGGCCCGCGTGACGATTTAAAATGGCCCGCCGAACTTGAGTGAAATAGTTTAACCCTTCATGTGGTACCACAGTTTAAGCACGTTTATTTCGTAACAATTGAATTATTCCGGTATCTTATGTATATATTAGAGATGTACCGATACCACTTTTGTCGCCGATACCGATACCGATCCGATACCAGCTAAAAAAGCCGATACCGATACGCCGATACTACAAAAAGGCCGATATTACCGATATTCCGATACCGATACTATGTAAATATTACTTAATTAGGTGTGCTGTGTAAGGCAGACGGGTTAAAACAATGGTCTTTGAGCGTTGTTCATAGTACACATTATTTCAGATCGAAAAATGATATATCACATAATATGAAATTAATGTTTGGTGTTTGCTTCAACTGATTAAGATACACTGTACTGTAACGCTAGTAATCTCGGTGTTCAATTAGAAAACTCATAAGCCGGGATGTCCAATTTGAATTTAATGTTAATATCGCGACCTTCGAATATCGTTATTCGTGTTTAAGAGAATATCGAATATCACCCACACATTCTAGAGCCGCCGTCCTACGTTCAAATTAAAAGCATTTTTCAAATATTTTATTTCGTGGCTAATCGTAATCGTCGACGCAATAAGTCAAAGCCAACATGAAAGAATATCAATCAGCACCGACCAAAAGAAGGCCTACCTATAACCGTCGAGGATGTTTTTTACTTTACTATTTTATATTATTATACAATTGCTATCATATATTTTGAGACAGTCTAGGACTCTAGGCCCTCTAGGGCTAGGCGGTCATGTCAATATATCTATGAAGAAATTGTGTTGTTAAACAAAATTAATATCTGCGTAGAGGGATAATTGTGTCGGAATTTAGTTTATCGATGTCGTCGGACTAAATGACACTCGTACTTGACGACAAACAGTCAGAATTTATACCCGTGCCAAAAGTCCATGTGCCGTTAATAAGGACCCCAATTCCACTGTATGATTTAAAACTGGGCGCCTATTGCTTTTTGTTATGTGCCGTGTTGATATATTTTCTTCATAATTACTATGTAATATTAAAAATGTCAATATAAAAATTTGACAGCGAAAATAGCTAAAAATACGTGAATCATATTCTCTCGCGGGGGTAGGGACATGTATGGCTCATAGCTCACGATCTCTCCAGACAAAAAATAAATTAAAAAGTAGTATTCAAACTTATCTTTTAAAACATTCTGGACCATATCAAAAAGGTAAATATATCGGAAATATCGGCCTTAATCTAACCGATACCGATACATGGCCGATACCGAAAAAATGGCCGATATTGCCGATACCGATACCCGATACCGATACATCGGTACATCTCTAGTATATATATGATTATTATGATTACACACTGCAGTATTTTAGATATCAGCCTTATATTAAGAAAGCTTGAAGATGTCACAAAACGAAAACTAGGCACTGAAAACAGGCGTTTTTTAGATGAATGACAGCGTTTTTATTTCTTTATCGAAAAGAATCAAACTTCAGCGATTTGTCTTCTTACCAACAAAATATTTCAGTTCTGAAAGAATACAACATTATGATCAGTTGACGAGCGTATTTCAAAATTTAATTCATACAAAAGTCAAACAAACATGTTCAAAAAAATTAGAAATGTGTAACAAAACAAGCCATAAGTAGCCATTGATACAATGCCAGATGAGCAAGTAACTTCATTAGTCACTATCAGTTGCAAATTACTTGTTGAAACGTAGTAGTATATATTTACGGTTGAAAGCCGTGCTTGTTATCTATTCCCCGGGAATTTTATCAGCTAAATATTATGATTATTGATTTTATTACATAACAAACTGCGATGCTAGGTGTATCTAAAATCAAGCTTAGAGCCTATTTTGGTGCCTATTTCTCAAAATTTTTCTCAAAAACCCAGCCGTGTCGTCCCGCACTTTTCCTCGCTCCCCTTTTCTGGCCCTACAATTTCATTCTGCTGTGGAATTTGGCTCGCCGTCAATCAACTTGGGGGCCCCCCATGTACATCGTCTCTTAAATACATACCATTTTTTTAAGAATACAAATAGCCTAGTTTTATCTCTAATAGCAAATTATTTACCACCCCCTAAATTTTGAAACACCCCCCCTAAAGAGAAAAGCTGGGGAACATACTGAGTTGGAATGACACATGCACAAAATTGTTGGGCCGCGCCCAATATACCCATAAATTCAATTAGAAACTTTCAATTAATAAATTTATGAGCTGAAAAGGAAAGATTTTATTATTTGTAAGAAATATTTAAAAATTATATAATATGTTAAAAATAATAAGAAGGTTAGGAGCTGGAGCCACTAAACTTTCTAGTAAGTCCAACTCCACTCCACATGGTAAGCTTGGCCACACCAAAATGCGATGACTCCAATCTCCAGCTCTGACAATAACAACATCATTGCTTATTCCTTATTGAAAAATATATCAAATCTGCTGCAGTAGGCTACTGATAGTCCGACCACCAGATCATTGAGATTGTGATCACGGCGCGGTGCGCTATTTTTAATTTTGATGGAGTCATCGAATACAAAGAAACGAATTCCACAGAGGCCACAGAAATTTTTGTAAGAAATAAAAGTGATGGACGTTTTCCCGACCCTTGACCCCAGAACTGCTCTCTCTATAATTCACTCTTAACAAATTTTTGATAATTATTTTGAGAATATTGGAGAGTGGACATTTACAAACAGGTTTGCATGTTCAAAACCATCATTTTTATTAGAATATTTACCCGCGTGTCGGTTCCAGGTACTGACAACTAATTTTAGCCTAGTCGATCGAAGCTTTTGGGGGCGTAATTTTTGAGTATTGCAACTGAACTAAAGCTATTCGAAGGACATATTGACATTTACATTATTTGATTTACATCTTATTTTTAGTAACTAAATTGTAAACTGACAAATAACGCGCAAAACCGCGACAATGTTTACAACTGTCTGAGTGGAAGAAGTGTCTGAGCGACTGCACTAATTGCCATTGTTACGTCGTCGTTGACGTATTGCTGGTTTGTCTTTGTTACGGAGATAATCAAGGAAATCAATGCCCGGGAAAACATCCATAGCCTTCATAGCGAAAAATACAACATTCAACCACTGAAAATTTCAAAGCAATTGGTCCAGTAGTTAAATGAGAAAAGCGATTTTATCGCAAGAAAAAAAAAATAATAACATGATCAACAACAACAAAACGATCTATATATATGTACATTTCGTGTCCAACAAGAACAACAACATGATAACAAAACGATCAATTTCGTGTCCAAAATCACAATTTATCCTGTAGTAATTGCAAATTTGAAGAGATTTGACGATAATATGATGTTATACTGAAATTCAGAAATATTCGAATCGGAACATTTTTTTTGAAAATACATTCCTACATTAGAAGCACATGACGTGTTTCCCCGAAATTTGCTTCCGAAATATACCACTAGGGCTTATTTTCGGGGGATGTCTCATATTTCCATTTATCAAAAACAAAATTACAAAGTAGAGAATTACGAGGTTTTTAAATATATATACAAAATATGGAAACCGATATCCATTTACTTATAAATATACAGTTTTATTCAAAATGACTGCAAAACATGCACTATTAATCATTTAAAACATGTAGAAGAGATTTCTTGCTATCAACAAGGTAAAACAAAAATTCGCGTTATTGACTAGGCTTATATTAGAATCATTTTTAAAATTCAGGCTAGGTCTTATTTTCGGGGAAACACGGTAATAGACTTTAATACTTTCATAAGAGGACTACGAAAAATACACAACTATCTGTTACTAGAGCTAATTAAACGAGAAACGCAATTTTTAATTTGAATATGGCGTTAAGGTAACTTTAAAAAGGATTATGGTTGTGGTTCATTGCAGTTTGATATGGATTTACCGTTTACAGCTCCCAGAATCGATATTGTGTTAACAATCTGAATTGTTATCTATTTATTTAATACTATACACAAAACTATCAAATCTTGACGGTCCGAAAAATTAAACTTTGGATTCGTACAAAAACCATGAATGTCAGTGGCAAGCATTTCGTTATGAACGTGTGTATCGACAAACGCACGATTTGCGAAACAACATTGATTAGGCTCATTTTCGGGAATACCTAATTATCGGCGATCAATGCCGCTTGTTTCAACTTCAGTTCGGTCAGAAACGATTACCGCTGTTTTGTTTGTGTATTCCATATGTTATATTGAAGATCCCGATTGCTGTCATTAATTATTCACAGAGACGTCGCAGCAGATGTTACATTCGGAATCTACGCTAGCGTGCCTTGACGGTGGACAACTGGGATTTGCAGCGAATTTCATTTACCAAATAGATTATACATGGTATTTTATTTCAGGAACCTGAATCTTGGCAATCTATTGAGGCAAACAACCACGTACTTTTTGTCTGAGTACATCGACGTGTTTTCCCACTGTATCAAACATTTCTTCTTGTCTTTTCCGTAACAATAACCAATCGGCAAAAACGTGACGTAACTATTGGATGTAACTAGTGCCCATGCCTAAGACGATTTTCACGCATAATTGGAGCCTCCATCGTCATTTTCAGGTTTATTTGACAATTTTTAGTCATTCATTAAAAAATTCATTTTGTATATGAAAAGCTCACTTGTATTGGTAGTAATCGAAAAACAGTGACAAAAAAGCCGAAATAGACTAGGATAAATCAGTTCATTAGTTGCCAAAGTGATATTCAAACCGCAGCAAGTGAAACAATCATAATGATATCAAGATGGCACGTTTTCCTCTTTACTCATCTATACGTCTCCGTCAACTTCGTATAATCGGCACGCACGTTCGGCTGTGTGTCATTTGTTATAGATGGAAGTTATGTATACAATAGTAATTAGTGTATTTTCCGCGATCCATCTGTCATGATTACTTCAACTCTTCATTTACATGTTAAATATTTTATCATCCCATTCCTTTTATCCACTAACCCTACGCCTCATACCTATATTAGCTCGCGCAAGCGTATTGTAAAACAGCGATATAAAGTGGAAGTTACTGTGGCTACTTGACAAACTTTATGTAATCAGTGTATTACAGGAAATTTCGGAATTTTCTCGGGTGTCGTGGAAATAAATGTCTTGAATCTTCAAGAATAATATTTTTATGTTCAAAGAATATTCATCTTAAGCTATTTTTCGAAATCACCAGAGAGGACATATGGGTAATGTATTTTATACGATCGCATTCAACGTAAATTCAGTTGAGCAAAAACGATTAATGCCAATAAGAAAAATTGGCTGTTTGTTTTTATATTACTCCTAAAAAACGCTATCTTTAGCAGTTACAATTGTTAGATGAAAGAAATAAAAACGAAGAGTGTCTCCTTCAAAGTTTACTTATAACTCTGTCGCATACAATTTTTGTTTACTGCGGGAAATAGAGTGTTGCAGGATTTAACAGCACTTATCACAATTTCAGACACCGTAAATTAGTTCAGAACAGTTTCAGGTACACTTCTACAAGTTGCTTAGTATTTTTTTACAGTTATCAAAAGAAAGCGCAAGCAAAATACAATTTCAAAATATCTCTTGAGGCAATCCCAAGTGAAAATCATGAACCGTATTCACTGTTGCACCTAAGTTCAATAGAACCAAACTGATGAAAAACTATAACACCTCAGATTCAAAAATGTGGTTGGGTGTCAATCCTATGAAATACACACTCCCAACACCCATACCCTGGTCCCACTGAACTGGCGAATCCCTACATTGAGTCTTTAAGTTTCCTGGAGGCTATTTTCAAAATATACTACGGTAAATTCTGACATTTTTGCACTGATCTCACGTTGCGAATTGAAACTTCTGGTTGAGAGTGAGACCAAGATCGAAAACATTGCAACTTTATCTATATCGATGAACTTTATTAACAAAATACTCCTCAAAATTAGAGAGACAAGAGATTCAAAAAAAAAGCCAATCGTCACACGAAAAAATATATTCACCCTGCTCCATGTGGGAAATTTCGCCTATTTTCAAACGAAAATCAGACCAAAAAACCTCTATGCAGGCATAACCAGTTTAAAACATGTATAGGATTAGTTCAAAGTCCCAAGCATATGATATATAAGAAGTACTGCCTATGGCAGAGCTGGGGAGCTTGTTTAAAATTACAATGGCTATGCCCAGACGAAGATTTGTTTTATACGTCCTATACTCCAGACTCTTTAGCCATATGGGTTTTTCGGTAGGACTGCCCAAATGCTGTTTCCCCGAAAGCGAGATTCAATACCACGATAGAGGGGTTTCAAATTTTTAATTCCCCTCCAAACTTTTGAATATAGGAATTAAAAATTTTATAATAATATTTGAAATTAGGTTAGGTTTGGTAACTCTCATTGGTACAAAACAATCAGAACTCTCCTCTGAATCATACAGTGTCAATTTTGAGTTGCATGCGTGATGATCAAATTGATCCATGGCAGCAAATCTTATACAAAGCTGTACACAAGCAATGATAAAAGTAACTGAATATTAAAAAATATAATCGCCGTTAACATTGTAATACACGGGGAGTTTCATTAGAAATGCATTAAATAAAACTAAAGTGTTTTGATACATTGACGCACCACAATTCAACTGCTATAGTCAAAAGCATGCAAAATTAATGAATTGCCAAGCATAATACTTGGTGAGTGAGGGGTAACTGGCAGTGGAATAACAAAGCAACGTTTTTAATCATGAATGGCAAATAACAATTAGGAATTCAAATAAATCATTATTTTTTTTATTACAATTGAGTATTTTAGCAATAAAAGAAAAATTTGGAATCTACACCAGTGTTTTGGTGTAAAATAGAAATATCATGGAATGGATAATATATATCGAAATGAATGAGACAGAAGGTCACCAACCATTCAGATAAGTCTCAACAAATTCTTGACTACATCAAAATTGCAGGAACACAATTTAATGAGAACAAGCCTCACACAACATCTAAATTGTTCCAAAAATGGAAACTTAGATACACCTTTTGAAATAAACGCAAGTTATTACTACTGAGCAGCATGCCTATGGCAGTGAAAACTAACATCAAACATTATAAGAACAACATCATTAAAAAATGTTCCTATGTTTTATTATTGAAAATATTCAACAGCATATTTATTTGACAATAATAAGTATCTTGAATAACTAAAGTTGGCAGCAAATCTAGCCAGTGTCTTTGTAATCACTAATACTTTCATCAGCTTTTGTGAATTCAAACTTCGAAAACACTTAAAAATAAATTTGTTTCATGTGGATTATTATACAGTTTAAAATTTGACGACCTTCTGTGCAGTACCAATGTTACATTGATTCACTGTTGTGGCGAATCGTAAGGTGTTGACGGTCTCTGATGAGGAGGTGGGGGATGGGTTGATGTTCACAACCATCAGGGTTTTGCTGTTTCCACCCAGACTGTTCATCAGTAAAAGTGTGAGCTTGGAATTACGATATGGAACATGACTATCCTGAAATGCAAAAAGAAAAAAATTAATAACGAAAATCAAATTTGTAATAGACAATATACCATTACTGAACCAGAAGATCAAAACAAAAAGATAACGGATGTTTTGCATCAATTTATAGATCAATCGAATGTATTCTCTGCGTCAGATAAGAAAAAGAACTTCTATTGAGAAATACTATCAAAATCACAGACACACAAAGAGAACCAAATAAAAGTTCTGAGTCTGAATTGTGAATTCCCCCTGAGATGGTGATAAACAATTCAACATTTTCTTCAGGAAATTGAAATTTTTTTTGTCTAATAAGCATTCTTAATTGATAGTCAATTGATGACTGAATCAAAATGTGATTTTCTCAAAGTTAGAGTCAAATTTTTTCAACCAGATTTTGGGAGACTAAGTTTAATGTGAATTTTCCAAGCCTAGGTTTTATTGAAGTGGACTCGCGAGTGCCAGTATACTGAAAACTTTCATCAGATGTTATGCCAAGCGAATAGGATTTTATGAAACTGTTATATCAAAACTTTTTTGGTCATAAATTTTGTAATGTACTTCTACAGCACAATGTATTATTAACAACAACAAACCGTAGCTGTAAGATGCATAGTTCTACTACTAACCTTGTTAGCAAGTGCTGATATAACACATGAAAGTGCGGTGAGAGAACTATTGATTTTCTTTCCTTCTTTCAAACGTTGTCCTGTTGCTCCCGTGTCGCCACATCTTTCAGATCCAGCCAGATCAATCAAGTTTAAGGCAGCTGAAATAAATATTACAGGGATTTATATCAAATCAAGGTTGCTTAAATTTTATCAATCTAAAACGAAGTTTCATTTAGTGTCTCTTCATTTTAGCAGAAACAGTTTTAAGTAAAAGCATTGACAGTTTTAAACTTTCTAGTGCAGACATTTTCTTCAAGAGAAAAATGAATGATACGTTAGCAGATACTACTACTACCATTGGGAAGGACCGGAAACTTTCTGGCCTGACTGGATAAGGTTATTTCAAAGGGTGTTCTCACTTTGTTGAGCATGAATTGTTTGAACATAATTGGATTTGGAAGCTATCAATCAAAATAACGCTATAAATACAACTGGAATGAGTGCTAAACGCCTCCAGAGGGAAGCTATGAGCCATAAAAGGTTGAGAACCACTGCTCTAAAGCAGGGGTGTGCAACCTCTAATACAGGAGGGCCAGATACAAAAAACTGGGTGAAACCGCAGGCCGCACCTTCATTTAACATGGGCTTGCTTCCTAGTAGTGCAGGCACATATATTTCAGTTGTTGATCTTATGACATGCGTTGTTCGCTTCTCACAAGCTAGCTGTTAGGGCATTTTAATGTCATGGGCATAGATAATGAATTGGAATGACTTATAGGCTTTGCAACGAAAAGGGATTAGGATTACTTGTCCGTACCAGATTGAACCAAATTGAAAACTATTTCGCGGCATGCACCCATTCAAAATTAGCACTTCTCCGCGGGCTACACATTTTTTTCTTGTGGGCCACATTAGGCACGGGGGCCGCAGGTTGCAGTCCTGCTCTAAAGCATTAAGCTGACTGTGCTGATCTTATCAAATTTTGGTTTTCAGGAATTCAGAGTCCAAGTATGGAACACCTCCATGGCCCTGAATTCAGTCACACTAAGAAAAAAAAAATACTGACATTCAGTTTTTTGTCCAGTCGCTTCATTCGTTGCTGTGATTCTTAACATGAAGACAGAATGAGAACGAGATGAATGATCATTCGCAGCAGTTTGTGCAGTTGCACGACGGCGCTTTGACAATGCCATGAGTTTCATAATCTGATATGAAATTGTAAGGAATTATTTTTCATCACCTCACCTTTATTTTGATTCGGTTTAATTAATTATTACCACAATGATAGTTAATTTTAATATAATAAAATTGCCATTAAACCAGAGACTATTTAACATGCTATGTTAGCACAGTTAATAATTTCAACGATTTATCTACTAGACCTGGCTTGGGCAAGGTTTTCGGACCAGGGGCCAAAATTTCCATACCACACATTCAATTTGGAAAAAAAAATTGCTCAGAAGAATAAGAAATCAATAGAATTCCCGCAGTTGAGACAAGAGGATACATGCCATAAGCACTACCACAATCCAATACTCACATCAGCATATTTGGTCACTGAGTGACTAGATAGGTTCGGAACCCAAACCATCGCTTCTCCAGAAGGCCCTTTGGTTCTGATGTCAAGCTTTTCGGCATTATTTCCACTCCTAAGCAAATCTTGGAGAATCTCACAATAAATCTCAACATGTTCTACTTTCAGATCATACTGCAGAAAAACAGAAGGAAAGATAAATAAATCATCATGGTTGTGATAGCAAAATCGATAAATGGAGGCTTTTGTCAAGTAGATGGCGTCCTATTTGAATAAATAAGATACATCGATACTGATATATATATATATATTTATTTATGAATATGGTATACTTAAGGTAGAATAAATTTCAGAGTAAACTAAGTGATTTAAATACTTATGAAGTTTCATAATTTCAATTTGTTTTGAAGACATTACAAAAATGTTACAAAGTTGTGGTTAAAAGGACAAGAATATAAACTAAATGATAGTTTTTATATAGTGTATCTAAAATTACCAAATTCAGAGTCAAGCAGCCTATTTGCTACAGATTTGAAAAATCTCAAGTTACTTGTTACATTCACCATAATCACAGCCACAGGTAATTTGAGTAGAAAAACAGCAGCGTAATGACATTTATTTTTATTGAACAAACCTCCCAGCCCAGTTTCTTCTGATTTTGGCATTTGATGAATATCTGTTTCATAGCTCGTGGTATGATTCCACAATTTTCTTCTGAATAATCATCAGGACCTTCCATGGTGTAAGTTTTACCTAAAATATAATTCAATAATAGCACCATAACAGAATTGAAAAATAAAATAAAATAATAGTGTTATAGTATATATTCTGCATAAATTTTGTACTTTTTTAGAAACCGTGTAATGTTCCACTTCCATCTTATATTTATAGACAATGATAAATAAGGCTTTATGGTTATCCAAAGGAAATCCTGTCTAGGTAAAAATAAATTGAATATTTGAATCGATCTGGAATTGGTAGAATTCATATTTTTGAATACTTGATTTAAAGAATGATTTCAAGTTTCATTTGGAATATTTTCATTTTGAGCCATTACAGTTTTAAGGTATGATCAGATAAACCTACATTGATTTGGGAACCAACCAAATCATTGTTTATTATAATACTCATGCATTACTATATTTCAATTCAACTAATCGCATATATATTGTCGATATATGTTCTTGTTAATAGACATGTCCCAATCAGGAGTATATTCGAAAATTCCAAATAGAAAATATTATTTTAGAGCAGTGGTTCTCAAACTTTTTAAGCCACGTCCTCTTTTTAGAAGTCCCACTGCAAAAATAACTAGGTGACAATAAGCTACGAATAACAGATAGCAAGGCTTTAGAAAGTATTATAACAAATAATAAAAATGAAAACAAGCACAACAGCCCTCTGTAATCTCTGAAGAATAAAAAATGTAAATATCCAAAATAAGGCAGGCAAGATCAAATCTAACAAATACTTTTTTTTTTCAATTAATTTCACGTCCTCATTGTGGGGCACGCCCCACTATTTGAGAACCATCGTTTAAGAGTGTATTCGGAACAGTGAAGTGGATTACAATTTGGCCATCCCCTACAGCAGTGGTTCTTAATCTTTGTGAGCCTGCCGAACCCCTGCGCTATTCTGCAAGCTCCCGCCGAACCCCATTGTACTGAACGGTTGAAATTAGAAGCCAAACCGTAACGTCATAAAGCGGAAGCTAATTCTTTCAAGGTTATAGAATATGAACATTGTGATGAAACCTTAGATATCAATAACCTTGTGGGAATAACCATTGTTTTGTCACAATGGCGTTGGCGGCAGAATGAGCAGATGGTTTTTGTTGTATAAGTTATGCGGGTGAACAGGCGAAAACTGATAAAAAATAACTTTGAAAATCCGAAAGATGATAATATACCCCATAAACGTTGGTAGTTCAAGCAATTTTTTCTCAAACTTTAAACTGCGCTGAAATGCGAATAAAATCGTTTGCCAATTGTTTTATTTTACAGAAATAGAGATAGGATTAATTCGGCGCCATATCGAGGTTGTCCTGAATGGATCATAATAATTTCGGGTAAAGCTCTGCGATAAACTATTCCTTGTCGCAAATTTATCACCTAGTGAAATTCAAACACGCTATGATTTTGCATTCATTCATGTACAATTACTGCCTATCTTCGATTTATCCGTAAAATTGAGTTAAATTTTATTAGTACGGTAGAATATGAATATGAATAAGGGTAACACCAATTAATTGTTCCATTCAATTGTTCAAGTCAAGTAATTAGTCATCATGAACTATAGTTATTTTTGCATAATTAGTATGCAGGGTGATAAAAAAGTCTCATAATATGCAACTGTTTCAGAGCACCTTCGTCGAACCCCTGGAACAGCTCCACCGAACCCCAGGGGTTCGATCGAACCCAGTTTAAGAACCACTGCCCTACAGTTTTGGATAAGATTTTCATTCTTACCGTGAGAGAAAAAGCATATGGCATTTAACAACTGTGTCGTTATTTCCAGTATTCCAGTCTGAGATATTGAATTAGAACAATCCTTATTCAAACTAAACTGACCTGATCCAGTTTGTCCATAAGCAAACACACATACGTTGAAACCATCCAATGAGCTTTGAACAAGTTGATCTAGTTCTTCATATACTGCAGCCTGAGTTGCTTGTGGTCCAAATACTTTGTCAAAACTATATTTCGATTCCTTCTCGTGCTGGCAAGAAAATGATAAGCATGGTTAGAGGAAATTTTCAGAGGTGATTCAGCATTTCACAGTGACATTGGAGTCAAATTTAAATATTTTGTAATTATGATCTATTTGAATTATTCAAAATTATTGTAAATACAGATTTTTGAAATACCAAATTTTTTGGATGATGGCCCACGGCCATCGGACAATGAAGTTATCATTGTGATTTGTGTGAGTGAGTGTGGCATCATTGAAAATAATACTTTATGACTTGCAAAGTAATGGATGTTTCCAGAGCATCAAGCGTCATGTTTATCTCCATAAGCAAAGAGCAATACATTTACTCTTTTTCATCGTCTCATTCGCCATTTGCCAAATATGTTAGTTATATGTCATAAATATAGACATGAATCTAAAACTTCAACAAATACTTTATCTTTGGAAGGGTTTTAGTTTAGTTGCGCCAACCAAAAAAAAGGATATACTAGGGTCAAATTAGCCACCGGTAATTTTTCATAAGCATTGAAATTTCTGCTGCGCTAAATTAAACGAAGAATATTGATGGGCCAAGGGTTGGGGAAATATCATTGAACAAAAAAATGGACAAATCTCACATTGGTGACATTGAGAGACTTTCCAGCTTGACCTTCGTAATTAATATGTTGAGGTGGATCTTCATCTTTTATATTTGGTCGTACTCTGCAGAAGACTCTGATGTTTCCCTAAAAATATAGAAATTGAGAAAAAGATTTTTTATGTTCGTAATTCAAAATTGGAGAAGAAGCATAGCAACAGAAAAAGGATCTCATGTGCACTATTTTAAAAACTGGATAACGCTACAGACCTTTTAAAAACTCATTGTAATATTCCAGGGTGTGTAATAAAGTTACAATATTGTTTTTAATTGAAAGTCATAATATAAAGCATGCGTTTAAAATACAGGGTAACCAAAAAACATTCCCAAGTACGTCTAAGAAAATAAACAAAATTTTTATAGAACTTCTGTTTGTGTACGATTGTACCCCAAAAATTCAGTAAACTAGACATTTTGCACAAAAGTTATGTTCTCTCTAGATTAGGTTTCAAATGACCTGATTTCTGTTTTTTTGGGGTCAGACTGTATTTTATAATACATGCATTACGATTTACGACTTTCAATTGAAATCGATATTGTGACTTCATAACCCACCCTGGAATATTAATGTACACCACACACAATACGTAGATGGTTCTAATAAATTGTCTCCCTTGACTTGAGAGTCAATCTTCAGAAAAACTGCAGTCACAAGAATGCACATTTGGGTGAGTACCTTCAGTTCTTGAACTTCATTTAAAAGTCTTTTTCTGTCGATTTCATTGCCTTGCAATTCATCCGTCTGTCGTTGTATAGTTTCAACATTTTCTGCATTTTCCTTAGACAATTTGTTATGCTCCTCCTAATAATATCAAATAAAAATTATTAGGGATGCGACGAATCCAAAAGGTTCGGCTCGGCTGAATCTGAGTATTTGCACTGGACTCGTGTCCGAGTCCAATACTTTTATGTAGCTCCGAAATAAATACCTAAAGTGATGCTGTTGTTTGCGTACCTTGACTGTAAGTTGAGCATTTTGTAAGAAATCACTGAGTGCCTGTAATTGAAAACGTTGCTTTCGTGACAATCATCTTTTTTAGTTGGCGCTGACAATGATAAATAAGAATGCGTAATTGTTGATTGCAATTCCGAAAAGATTATTTTCCTTTCTATCCATGAAACAGATAAGAAACGAATTCAAGGACACAAGGGTTATAAATAATTATAAGCTAATTTAAGGACTCTCTTTTTCTGACGCAATCACTTTTAATAATACAAATCCCAGCTCATTGAAAGGCAAAATGGAATTTATTAACATTAATTTACGAGTTACGGGTAAGAACTTACCGACAGCTATCGCTAACAGGTATAAACGAAAAATGTGAGAATTTTTTTGTTTCCTTTTTGCGCCTATCATATTTTTCAATTTTCAAATTTGACTAAAGCGCGCAACACAGTTTTTGTAAATTTAGAAACGTCGAACCAGGTAAATAATGTATTCTATGGAAATTTTCAGAGAAATATTATTTCGACCATCTAGAAATGCCATTATTGCCGATTTATTCATGTGTTTAGTATCAGTGTTTTAACCCAAAGCTGAGTTACGTGAATACTCAACTTTCCAATTTGCGAAGTTTTTAATTATTATTTAATACGAACGAAAGTAACACGGACACGATATAAAATTAAAGAATAAAAACGTCAACTATCCACTTCACAAATATTGCATCCCAGGGTCAGTAATGATCATGTTGTTTGCATAAAATTGGGACCGTAATATACAAACTGTGATAAAAACCCTACACAAAAGATAAAAAACAGACTAAAATTACCTTGTGTTGTGAATGCACTACTGCACTCCTCAATAGTTGCCGATGTGAACTCACAATCCTGCCCGAAATATAAAAATCAAACCACAATATCCGTCGTGAGAATTAATATTTACTGGTGAATAAAAGTGCTTTAATATAGTTTACCAACATTAATATTTAATTGGTCTTCTATTATGACAAAATTATGAAATAAAAAACGCCAAATGGTTATGTTGTTTTCAGCCTTCTAGTAAAATTCAAAAAAAAAAAATTTCGACGGCCGACATCCCAATTAATGTTGTTTAAAATGGCAATCCTCATTATTCGGTGTTCGTTATTAAAAATATTGGAATAATTCGATTAAAAAGATACGATTTTGCCCACCACTAATCTCGGCGCATGTAAATAATCGTTGAAAGGCGATAAAATATCAACTTGATTAACAATAAATTCGAAGTAATAGTTTCACATTTCATGCATTTTATCGGCGCTACATTCGAGTGTGTTTTTGTACATATAAACCATTATGGCGCTACTGACGTGTGCGAGTTATAGTTCTCTCTAAAATTAATTCTCGCGATTTTTAATGTTTTATTTCTAGATGCGGGTACATGCTGACTACGAAATAATGGTCGATGTTTAAAATAGGACTTGCAAAATATTCAGCCAACACCACCAGGCAAAAATAGGCAGATAGCTACAGATTAGGCCAATGGTTCACAAACTTTCATGATATGTTCCCATCTTTCAGAGATTCTCAACACTTCAACCAACCTAGACAATTAATACCTGTAATGCATTGAATTCAGATTTGATAGTTTCATTCTTCTTCTCAAGTTCACAATTTTCCTTCTTAGAAGCACGAAGCTGAAGATCAAGTTCATCTCTTTCATCTCGTACTTTACGTAAATCACGGCGGGAATCCTCTAAATCTCTGTAAACAAATATTTTATATTTTTACATATCGTAATAACTTCGACATACGAAAAAAACAGCACTGAATTCTATCAATTTTTGATTCAGAGTGTAACATACTACTTGGTAGTGTTATTAATGTAGAAATAATTTTAAGTAGAGCTCAACTATTAAGTATGCATCAATGAGCGATTACAACCGTTTCATCCTTAGTAATTATACAATCAGTTGAGACAATTGAACAAAACTCAGGTGTGAAATTCATAAAACTTTAACTAAATTCAGCCATTCTCTGCGTGTACACTCAGGTTTATATCTGCTTGTGTATATAAAAACTACTAATAGATAACTAATGAACTTACAATCTCAAAGCACGAATAGCTCTTTTGTGATCATCATTCAGTCTTGATATTTCACTTCTCAAACTTGCAATTTCATTATCACGTTGTTGAATATCTCCCGATAAATTTGAATTTTCGACAGCAATTACTTTTCTTTCGCCTTCCAGGGCCTTAAATGGGAAAATTGTATAAAAAAGCTGACCACTGATTAACGTACATTTAAAGTATGGTCCTAGAGCGGTGATTTTCAATCTTTTTGGTGGAACGGGACCCCAATGCACAGTGCACACACATTAAACCCAAAGAGATTTCTTTCTAATATGCCGACATATACAATCAAAAAAGATTATCACAGTCAAAAACAATTGAATGTCGGTTTTCTACATTTTATACAATAATTTTGGCCTAAAAGATACAATTAACACTACAAACCTCCAATCTACGAAGAATATCTTCTGTCTGTAATGCTTTCTCTTTCTGTATAGCCGATGTTTCTTTTTCTTTGGCCAGGAGCTCTTTCATATCTTCCAATTGTCCTTTATAATCCCATGCTGATCTTTTCACTAAAAAGTAAATGCAAAGTTGCCGAAACAAATTTTCAAAAATAAATGGAATATAATTGCTGTGGTGATTGAAGGAAAAATGGAAATCACACGCTTTAATATACAATTCAGTCGTATTCTGATGCAATGGAGACAGACATATGAACATTGTCAAAATACACATTTCCCTTAGCATAATGATAAAAACAATCATAAAAAAATTCATTTGATGGTGCAAGTGTTGAAACCGAAACATGGAGGTACCAGTAAAACAATGTGTCACAATCACAATAAACTGAGAGGAAATATAAAAGTAATAACCGGCTCGTATACAATTACACTTTTAAAAAATAAAATTCGAAAACAATGGTCCGATATATTTAAGAAAGACTATTTTATATTTTAACAACAACAGTCTAGCAACACAACTTCTAGATCAAATTTGTGTCAAAAATGGGGAAAATCGATCTCCTGTTGCATTGAATATATGTCAGTTATAACCAAGTTGAAAAATTTATAGCAACATCTTATATAAGTATTATTTATTATTATTATTTTTTTTAGATTAACAGAGTGCTAAATTTGTATTAAATTACCGTACTCATAATACCTTTTTTACTTCCAGGCTCAGAGCTTGTACTTGTGGTTGCTGCTGTACTGGATGCAGGACGAGCAGAAGGACGAAGTGTTGGTTTGACTTTAAAAAAATAAAATAAAATTTTGATGCGAAACTAATACTTAACCACAGAGATGTTGTTTGGAGCAGAGTAAAATGAATGTGAGAAATTAGAATTAGGTCTTAGCCAAAGAAGGTGATTGCTGAACAATCAGGATTGGAGCTCACAATGACAAATGCCTTTTAATAATCAAGGTCAAATAAATCATTGGAGTCATTAAATTCGGCCATCAGGAATGTATAACACATTTCTGGCAATTCAAGTGCTTCTACATACTGGTGTGGACAATCTCGTTTCAGTACTATTAAGTATTATTTATAGGTTTTGATTAGTAAATTTAAGGAAAACCAAATATCATTTTTCTGGCACAATTTGCCATTTTTATATTATTTACATTTTAATTTTTTTAACAATTTAAATTAATTACAAAATATATATACATTCAAAATTACCTTTTTTGCAAGGCCGAAGTGGCATATCAAACAATTAAGGTTTGGACACCCTAATAACAATTTGTAAGTATAATTCTGTAAAATTTTCAATGTCATCATATCACAATTCATAATAAAATTTATTCTATATGACTCAGATAACAAATTGAGAGCACATATATTCAAAAGCTATGATACAAACCTGCGGGAGCACGTGATGAGCCAATACCAGCAGCATGCCTCTTAGCAGCAGTGGATGTAACTTGTCTTGCTTTTTGTATACTTCTCCTAGCTTTTTTTTTCGTAACCCTTGTAAGTAAAGGATTGCGTGTCTTATTTTCTTGTTCTTCATTTTCAACCTTTACTTTTTTCCCGCCTGGACCTTCTAATGATTTCTTCACCTTTATTTTGGGCTGAAATATAAAAGAAAACAACTATGAGTCATAAATTAGACCTAACAAATAAGTCCAATTCAACACACCCAATTTTTTTTGTAGTCGGCAGAGGATTCAAATAAAAATAAACTCAAATTCTCTAAATTTGGCAGCAAAAAAGGAAATTTCCATGAGCCAATTCTTTCTGTCTTTGCTGCATGCAATGTACCGTATGTTCTCCCAAGTATTGTTGTTCTTGTTTATTCCCTCGATAATGACCAATCAGAAACAGATATGTTACAGATAAAATTCTCGCAGCCACGCAGACAATCCCTTTTCTCAGACAGACTTTCAAGCAAGGTTACACACAACGCCCCGTTTTCTAGGTTTTATGTGATACTCATCAATTTTTAGCTACGCTTGCGAAAATTAGGTATATAGGCTATTAAATAATCTTATAGTTAGTGTGCTACCGGATAAGTTTTAGTTCAATTGTAGCTAATAAAGCTCCTGTTTGTAAGTGCCAACTAGCAGTCTACAGGTCTAAGTAAGCATCAAAATTTTGAAATTCTAGTGAGAACTTTTTAGGGTTCTAGAGCTTGAGAAACATCTACTGAACTATAAAGAACAATATTTGAACATTCATATACGAAGCACAATGTGAATATAGTTGAACGCTATAAACTCCATCAGAGTAAACCGTTATTCAGATGAGAAAATATGGCATCAGAATAACGTTCAACACAAACATTGAGGGAATTTTAAAAAGCACTTTGAAGAGAGAGTTCAAGAGTACGTGAAACCGTTACGAGGCATAGCTTTGTAGAACAATTACATAATTAATATTAAAGTGATTACCACTGCAGTGCGCTTCAGTCTAGAAGACTGAGGACACGGAGTTGGTAATTTTGATGGTTGCTTCAATCCTCTAGATTGCGCTGTATTCGGATCTTGATTCAACGAAACATCTGACAAAACAGAATTTGAGCTACTGGATCGCGCTGTATTCGGATCTTGATTCGACGAATCATCAGACAAAACAGAAGTTGAGCTACTGGCCGAAGCCATTCTATACACAGATATTCTGATATTGAACAGTTTGTAAAATACAATATCTGAATCAGAGAACTATATTCAGATATTCCTGAAAAAACAGTGGGTAGACTTTAAATTTTCACTTAAAACATTTTTCAGTTTCAGGTCTTGAAATTAACGCATCTTCACAATGCTAATACTGTAATAGGCTACCTCATATCTTTACTATAAATGCAAAGACTTCATTGCCAGAGAGATGATACCGTATTCCCTACAAGATTCTAGGTTTGTTGCGACCTCAACGGGGTAAGAACGAGAGTTTTGATGATTGCGTAAAAAAGACCTCAGGCTGTCAAGAGAAGAGCAGGGGTTCAGCAGTTACAATATCGGTACTGATAACTTATAACAGAAACAATGCAATTAATGTATATTGCCATAAAATCATAACAGCATTAAGTGTCAAGACCTTACTACAGTCGACAGTACCGTACCGGTAACAAGCGTCACTGCATCTACTCAAAGTGAGCAGCTAACGTTAACTACGCAAAGTGATCAAACCTCGCGCCTATTTTAGAACTTCATTCATTGGCTGAAATTAGTCGCTAGGCGATTACGTGAGCAATGCGCTTTTTGGAGATTTTTATCAAAATAAACCATTTTATTTTGTCTTTTCTTTATAAAATCTGTCTGCAACATATTAAATTATTTATTGCAAAAAAGCGAAGGTATTGACGATATAAGATCTAGTTTACTAAGTCATAAAACACCATCATGTTTGCAATATGGAATTCTTAGTTGGGGATCAGCAGCCAAGTTTTCATTACAGCCAATTTAAGTTATATATAATGTTGTACAGGTTTGGAGTGATGTTCCATCTGAAATAAAAGATTTGTCTTTATCTCTTTCTACTAAAAAAATGAAAAAGCTTGTGAAAAACAATTAATGAAAAATAAATGTAAAATCTTACCAAGCGCTCCTTTTTTGCAATAAATCTTTCAAAACGCCACAAATATCGATAAAGGCTCATGTACATATCTCAAGCTGTTGTTCAGTGGTTGGCGCAGTAAGACGCAACCGATAAGCCATTTCGTGAACGACCCCGCTGCGATGAAACCACGTTGCGAAAATTGAAATGCGATCGAATAAATCGAAGTTTGTATAACCTTGAAAAACTCACTTCAACCGTAAAAAACAAAGTATGCTAAGCATAAATTAACCGAACAGTATTAACCGTAACAATGACTTCATTTCATGCGAACAAGACCTCGAAATCCATATTATGGCGTCATAACAGATTAGTTGTGGCGTCTTTGCATCAGAGCAAAGTGACTATAACCCAAGTGAGGACACCGAGTGCAATGATGCGTATCGGCCGCCATTCTGGGTCCGGCGAAGCGCGGGTCCGCGACCAGGCTCAGTCTGTTTTGGCTTCGTCAGTCTACTGATCAGGTTTCGTTAGTCATTTAGTCTTTGATTTGCAACTGTTTTGGATTTCATTCTGGTGAGTTTAGTATTTTTCTTTTGCTGTTTGCCTAGTATAATAATAATTTTACCGTGCGGTTTCGTGAAAGCTGTGATACCGGTAGTATCTCATTTTAACCGCACTGCGTCTTGGGCACTGAGCTGCAAATACATATGGAGCAAACTTCTCTCTCGTTTTGTGTTGGGTTGCCTGTTTTTCGTATACTCTTGTAGCGAAAGAGATAATGATTGAAGTAAGCAAACATGTCATAAGTATAAAAAATCGCCTAGTAGTACGGTACCGTATTCGTAACAATATCTGTGTTTACTGGTTTATGGTCTGTCAGTGTGTAGTTTGGGATCTTTGCTGTTCAGATTTTGTTTCATTTAGTCTTTCTACATGTTGACATGCTGTAAAGGTATGGAGTGTAATGGCGCGGCGGTGTGGCTCATCGTGCTAAGCGTTAGGAATACGCTCGCCACCGCATCTCTGATTACCCTGCGTGGGTTCGCAGGTTCGAATCCCATGCGGGGTAGTTATGTGCGAGAGGATTGCTGGACTCCTCGCCGTCGTAGGGTGGTTCACGTAACCGCTGGTCGGTTACGGCTTCCTCCACCATCAAGTCTATGCTTCCGAAAAACAAACAACTAAAACTAATCCCATACCCGACATGGACTGGTAACCGGACGAGAGGCCGTGGTTCGCCATATGGTTAAGCCGTCTTATCGGCTTTCCTCTCCCCCGGGATAAATATGTAAATCCTATCCTATCCTAATGTGTGAATCCTAAAGGATTAATGAGTTTGATTACTGAAAAATGGTAACTTGTACCCAGAATTTAAAAAAATAACAAATGTCACATATTTTATGAGGTAATTTTTGTAGAAATTATAGTAAGAGGTAGAGTAGTTCGTTGTTCTGAACTTGAAATTTTTTACAGATGGAAAGTGTACCTGTCTGTCTGTAGGTTCTGTTAGGTGTCATTCATATACAATTGCTCTACAAATGATATTACAGTATAAAATCATCTGTATCATAATCTTGCTAGCTTATGTGATGAGCAAGATTGTTTTCATTCAACAATTATCAAAATTCCTTGCAGGTCGAAAAAGAAATCTACATTATTTGTGAAGCAGGAGCGGGAAGGGAAATTGGACAATGTGCTCCATGCAGGGATGGCCAATATCGAATAGTTCACTATTTCGAATACATTCGAAATTATTTTTTTCGAATATGAAATTTCGAATACTTCGAAAATAAAATCCACTAATTGAAGCTTATCTAAATGTATGTAGGAATTTCCCTACAATAAGCAATGAAATAACTGCTATCTACAAGTTACAACCTAGCTATATTACCAGGCATTTCATATTTGCAGATTATTGCAGTATAATGCCATGAGTCATATTAACAGAATTAAATTAATACGGCAATAGTGGTATCGATGATGGATTTGAATATTTGCGCAACACAAAATCATCCTAGTAAAACGCCCATACTTTTAAATACCAATCATTGTCCAAATTATTTGCCAAAAAGCGGGATAAAGTATGAGTTATTTTTCCACTCGTGACAATTTTTTCGTGAGTACAAAAATACGAATCAAAAATTAATTATATTCGGGAACTTTACCACACATTTTAAGTCCGCAGATCGCCGTTGTATGTTTGAGTAATATTACTTTTATTATTTTATAAATATGAAAATAGGAATCAAAAACTATTTATAATCGGGTAGTTTACCACACATTCTAAGTCCACAGATCGCCGTTGTATTTTGTAGATACGAAAATAGGAATCAAAAATTAATATTAATCGCGAGTTTTCCACACAATTTATGTCTACAGATTGTCGATACAACCATGAGTTACGTTGAACAAAATTAAATTAATACGGCATGACATTTTAAATGCTGGTACTAGTCATGGATTGGATTATTTTGCGCAACAAAAAATCATCCTGGTAAAGGATCGATACTTTTAACTATCGTTATCAAAATTATTTGCCAGAAATTATTTGCCAGCTATAAATACTGTATTTTCCGGCTAATAAGTCCACATGGCAAATAGGACGATGTCTATTTTTAGCACTCAAAAAGGGGGTTTTCATATAGGCCTACAATAATACGGGTAGAAAAATTGTGTCCCTGTTGTTCAGTTATGCTGATACGCGCTAATAATTTTATATGTTTAGAACCAGATCATGTTAGTTTGGTAGAATCATACTCACAGAATTAACTATTTTTAACAATTGAGCGGTAAATTTAAGTTGTAAAGCAGCAATCATTTTGGACAACCTATTAACCCGAATGTTGAAATAATTTTGGAATGTGATAAGTACTACACTGTACGTGCACGGGTTATTTCGCAGCTGTGTTTTCCTGTCCCTGTCGTGTTCTGCTGAATCGGCAAAACGAAAGGGTCGCAAATCACTTTATCTCGGTGGCCGTGTTTCTTTTCAAAGTAACGATAACCGACCTGCGATTAAATATCATGATTGATATAATAATAAGCAGGCCACATAGAAATAAAATTAACATACTTCCTCAAATGTGCAAATGTGTCGCAACACTATGCGACGTACGGTCGCACAGAATATAAACAAACAAAGTGCCGATTGTATTTCATCGTCATTACAATACGTGAGACAGCGTAAAAAGTCGTTTGAAGATTCCCGTAAAACGAAACACCACGTTTACGGCGAAAAGTGGCTACTATTCGGAATTATTCGAAAATCAACTGAAAAGGTATTCGAATACTTTGATATTCGAATACATTCGAATATTCGATTCGTTTTGGACAACCCTGGCTCCATGGCTGCCCATACTCGCAGAACGTTGATTCGCCTACAAATTAATAAAAGATTAAGGGTTTTCTTACAGCATTTAAAAAACAGTAAAATGCCTTATCTGTCGGGTCGCGCAACCATGTAAAATCCATTGATGCCGCGATAAAGACACTAGGAAGAAAAACTTGACTTCTTACTCTTTTTCTAATAAAGCACATCAATATGTGCACAAAGTCTTAAATGTCACACCCAAGCGTCATAAGAAGATGGTGCTAAATTCTTCCAGCTGAGCCTGGTTTCACAAAATTTGCTTTTCATTTGATTCAGCTAAAGGGCAATGTTTTTTCAATGTAGTGTACTTTTTAAAGTGAAGCTTTACCATCGTTTAAGTCTTCCTATGTATTTGATTATGACTATGTCCATCGCATTTCAACGGGATGGCTAAAACCGAATGCCTAAATATTCAGAATTTGTTCAAAAATAGATTTTCAAATATAGAACATATTCTATACTGAAAATAACTTTAATTACAAAACTGCATTATTCTGTATGTATTTGCTTCAATCACATTTGAAATAGCGCAAAGATGAGGACCTTTGTTATCACATTTTTGCATGCGTTTGATGAACATTGCTTTGCCCTGCTTGGTCGATGCCAAATGTACGTCTCAATCGACAATTTGCGAATTTTGATTTTTCAAAATGTTGCTAATGGAACTAAATCATTATATTGAATATAACAAACTTCTAATATATTTGACTGTTGAGTTTTGGACATCTTGATATCAGGCTTCCATTCCATAAAGTGCTTATACTACAGTCAGAACCAGAGCAGTCTGCTTGGTGGGCTTCAATTTTGGGCGGGTGTTTCCCAATTTAGGAGGTGGTAAATGTTTCGCTATTGCGATTAAAACTATTTGGAGCAGTAATGTGAAAGTGTGGAAATCATGTTTACTTGTTTTATATCAGTGGAAATCTCCGTCATGTCAAGAGTAAATATGCTTTAGTTAGTTCATGAGCAGTCGAACTCGGCCCAGTGTGGATCTCGTGCTTGAAAATGTAGTTGTTTAGGAGATTACACAGTACACACTATATATAAGTGGAAATAATTGTTTTTGACTGATATCATAAAAACGCAATAACCTCCACGAGAGAGAAGTTCACCAAAGTCAAAACGGGATCTTCAGATGATCCCGCAAAATGAGAGAGAATCGCATATTATTCCATAAATATAGTGATAGCTCGGGTACTACAAAGACATATTATATTGTGATCGGAACACATAAGATAGAGAAAGACAATAAAATGTGGCCAACTACATGTACATGGAAAGTCGATTCCGGTTAGCCACTCTGGGTAATGTTCTGTGGCCGTAAATTTTCGCTTCCTACGGATCTTTTCATTCACCTGGTCCTCATTCATTTTGCCAATACTAGTTTTTATAACGCCTAAATTAATATAAACTTGTTCAGTCTAATTTTAATAGTACTGTACATAGATACCACGAAATAAATCAAGATGGTAGGATGCTCAGCACTGAATTGTACCGGAAGATATGAGAAGGGAAAAAGAATGTTCAGGTTTCCAACAGATCTTTCCAGGCGAAAACGATGGTCAATCAACTGCCGTCGAGATAAATGGTTCCCATCCAAAAATGCTCGTCTGTGCCAGGTGACATTTATGACGTTTTAATCTTGTGTAACCTTTTCACATTTATTTAGTTTATATTTCTCATTCAAACGTTACCTAGTCCCTAGTGCATTTTAATTGCCCTAATAAATGTTATAATGGTCGTGTTGACACACTCCTTTTTAGGATCATTTTGAGAAATCTCAGTTTGAAGGTCAAAGATTGGATGGCAATACCAAGTTGAAACCGAACGCGATTCCTACCCTATTTGATGTCCCAAATTGTCCGAAACTATTAACAAGCCAGCGACGTGTTCTTAAGCGTGCAATGTTAACCGAGGCAAAAAAGATTTCGTGTTCAGGCAGTGAGTAATTTAACAAAATTTATGTAGGTAATTTAGTTCTCTCATTAATATTTGTTACATTTCAAAATATTTATAGATATAGCCGAGGAGCATTGCTACTATAGAAAAATGGAAAACGTTAGCGATGTTCAGTGCGAAGTATTTGTTAAGAATAACGAGATGCTGGAAGATTCTAGGGAAGAAAACAATGAGTTAGATGGAGGAGATACATTAGAACAGGTTGATGGCGAATGTGTTCAATGCAGAGAGAAAGAACTAGAGATCCGACGCTTAAAAAGACAAGTATGCCCATGTTTTATAATCATCTGGCAGTTCAAGAAACAGAACAGACTTATACGGGATATTGGCTACTCTCACCAGGATAACTGAGTCAGGAGTTCTTGAATCTCTAATTAGGTGTAGTTTTCGTGCTTTTAAAGTGCACAGTAAAAGAATAACATGGTATTCATATACATCACACAGAAAGATGTACATCTCCACATAAGAAGTAAAACTCTTATTAGAAATTTACTGGTTTACCCTAATTCAGAATTGTGTTCATATGCGTCTAGATCCATCAGTTGAAGCAAAAAATAGATAATGTGGAGTTGAGGGTTGGTAGTTTTTTAAACAAAGATCAAATGGATGCAATGAAGAATTCATCGGGAAAGCCAGTTATGTGGGAAAATGAGACTGTTTCAACAGCGCTTAAAATTCGGTGTGCAACGGGAGTGCAAGGGTGAAATTATGATATTTATATTTATACATAGCTGACTTAGCTGTCATTTTCTTCATACATATAAAGCAGTTTATTTGCTATGGTCTTTGAACTGGACTGTCTTCGAAAAATAATGCTATATCAGAATGGTTATATTGTTTAATTTTATCTTTTGAAACAAAGGATAAAATTCGGTATTCGTTTTGCTTTTAGGTACAAATTCCTTTGCAGTCTCGGCTATCCATTGCCATCTTACCGCACACTGTGTCGGCGCATTGTCAGTTTAGACTTTGCTCCAGGAATACAGCACACTGTGTTGGAATGGATGCAATTTAAAGGTGTAAATATGACTGCGACAGAAAAGCTATGTTCTTTGATGCTTGATGAAATTCAAATAGCCAAAGCAGTGGATTTTGATCCCGGACTGCATCGTCTTATCGGATACATTAGTTCCGAATTTTCAACAGCAAAGGAACCTGACTCCAACGTAGCATCCCATATTATATGTTTTATGGTTAAAGGCATAACAACAAAGTGGAAGCAACTAATAGGTCAGTTGAAACATTAGATCTTTGTACAAATCCCCGCTCATAATGCAAAAACGGCTTCGTACCAAATATGCGAAATATTGACATAAAAAGAGGATTTAATATTTATCGAGTAATTGAGTGTATGTGACAAAATAACATTTTGCTATTTTAGCATATTTTTATACCGGCATGTCCGTAGCCCCATATCAGCTGTGGGGGATGATTAAACAGATTATATGTCACCTTGGAGAATGCGAATACAAGGTTGTTAATGTGGTTAGTGACATGGCTTCATCCAACCAGGGTATGTGGAAAGAAGCGGGAGTGATTACAAACAGGTAGATGTTTGATGTATGTTATTATTGGCTAAAATGTTACGATATAATATGGTCATTCATATTTTACACTTATACAGGTTTCAGATTTCACCATGTGTTGTTCATCCCTATTTTGCTAATGAAAATTTATATTTTATGGCCGATGTGCCTCATCTGTTAAAAAATTTGAGATCTGCTGTATTAAAATACGATCTGGAACTACCAAAATCAACAGTAGAAAAATATAATTTGCCAACTTCAGTGGTGAGTTTTACTACTTATTTATCATATTATGTATGTTTTCGTATGTGATAATATAACACATTTCATTATTTATCTTAAGGTATCCTCAAAATTTTTCCATGCATTGGTGGAGTTGCAAGATGGAAAAGAACTGAAACTAGCACCTAAACTTGCGAGAAAAAATGTTAATCCATCACACTACGAAAAAATGCGAGTGAACACCGCCTCGCAGGTAAGTAAATATTCATTCAATTTGTTAATGATGGGTGTTCGGTACAGCAGTTTCCATCGTTTTATATTTTGGCAGTTACTAAGCCACACCACTGCATCGGCATTGAGAACACTTGTCGCACACAAAGCTATGGATGAAAATGCTTTGACAACCGCCTTCTTTTGTGAATTCGTGAATAATTGGTTTGATATAACCAATTGCAGACATATGGGAGATGCTCTATTCGAAAATTCTGAAAAAAAGGTGGAACTCTTATCTGAGGTGAATATTTTCAATTCAGAAATAGTGTGGTTGCTGGGTATTTGGGACGCCGGTTTTTTCCTGTTGGTGTTTGATCAGAATACCTAATGCTAGTTTGGAGCTTTTTCTAGTAGTAAACAATAAGGCGACAAGGACAAAAAAGAAGTTTATTTGAATTTTTTGAAACCATGTTTCAGGCATTGAACGTTATACAAAGTATAAAATTCGTGGGGACTGGATGGAAACCTGTGCAGTCTGGCTTGCAATTGTCAACAACCTCAATTTTATGCTTACACAAAAAGTTTGTGATTAATGGAAAACTTATTTTTCTCATGGCAGGAAGGCTTACGCAGGATGCCCTGGAAAATTTATTTTCACAAGTAATAATGAAATATAGGTTTTATTTCAAATGTTATTTCATTGCAAAAGAAGTTTGTAGTATATTCAATTATTTTTCAGGTTCGTGGCAAGGGAGTTCAGCACCCGAAACCAACGCAATTTCGTGTGGCTGTTAAACTTATATCAGTCTCACAATTCATGACCACTCCGACCACGACAAATTATGACAACGACGACACACCCCATTTACTCGAATTCATCAAAACAAATTTAGAAAACCAGCAATTAGACCCTGAAAAAACAACAAGTGAGGACTCCAGTGCAATGGAGGTGTTACTTGGCGCTGCAACAGCTTCCTTTGACACCTGTGAAGCAGATGCTTTGTATTATTTAACTGGTTGGGCTGTGTACAAGGAAGTAAAAAAACAAGACTGTGAAATTTGCAAAGATGCTTTTGTTACTATGGATATTGTCAATCCCGATGAATGCCCACATTCGCTATTAACTCTTTTTCGGTCTTACACACATGATAAAAATTTGAAAATTGATAGTTTTACCCAACATTTGTGCCACCCATCCAAAAAAGCAATCTTATTTTTGCGCGAAGTAGAAACAATATTCCGCGCCAATGTTAATGCTTTTTATAATATAAGTTCGCCAGTTACTTTTCTGACAGATAAAGTTGATAGCTCTAAATATGATTTTCCATCTTGCCACAATGCCGCTTTTAAAATTTTGAAACGTTTTCTTAATATAAGATTAAATATACACGCAAAAGAAGTAACAAATAAAATTATTGAAAAACAGTTTGCAAGTAAAGCTGCAGCAAGAGCTCAAGTCAAATAAATTCGTATATTATTTTAAACACTCCATATTATTAGAATATTTTGTTATCTTTTTTGATATATCGTCATCCTTCAATGCACGGAGTATATTTTTTACCTTTATTCCTCGGTTATACGCTGGTTTTATATTTATTTAATACTCGGTAATATCTAGTAATAAAAAATCCATCAATCGTTGCAAAATTTATATGGTAAAAGTTCTGTTTACGTAGTGGTGCTCGCACCAGGAATTTTTATAATAAATTGTGTTACTCTTTGTTTAATATTTTTGGGTCGAGTTATCTGAGAAAACATCTGCTGAGAATTCATTTCAGAATAATATTCATTCGGTTAGGTCCGAATTATGGACGGACGTTTTTTTTTTGTACAACTGTTTGACGATTTTTATTATATAGATAATAGTTTGTTTGTAATCTTCATTAGACTCTATCAACTTTTGTAGTTGTTGTACGAGTCTCTAAATTGTATCTGCTGTAAATATATTTGTGTTAGTGTTTGCATTGCCTGGTTTATAGTTGTATGTTTCGCCAAACTTGCCTTTCCTATACCTTGCTTTCCTCGCATTTTTATTAGTAAATATTCCGAGATAGTTACATATCCCTAGTTTTACTCTGTGTCATAATATCAAATATTTCATATGTCGCAACTACTGTATATATTTGCATCAGCTGTGACTCGTTTGTAGGGTCTCTGTATTTTATCCCTCATTTATGTTGCTCTTTATTTTAACCTGTAACAGCGCTGTAGGTGTCGCTGCTTGGAGACCTTTTCAGGTCGCTCGCGACTCCAGTTACACAAATAGTATAATTAGTACTGTATATTTATTCATTGTATCAGTTTTATTTGAACTTGTTTCTGTGATGACAAATAAACAATTGATTGGTCGCCGCGTTAAATCACTTGGGGATCATATACAGCGATGGAAATTTGGACCCAAAATGGCGGGTGTGACGTCACACAAGCGCTTATAACGTTACCAATGCATGTCCTCACTTGGGTTATAGTCACTTTGCATCAGAGGACTCTTACAATTAACATAGGCTAGGTTTAGGGTGTCTCATCGTTCATATCTGTAGATTACCGCCGATATAAGCATATTCTTCATTATCGCAACCCATTCGTTTTGCCGAAGGGCTGCACTTGATCGAATTGCTTTTGTAGTAGGCTCGTGAGCTATAATTTTCATGATTTTTCTTACTCAAAACGTCTCTCTGGTATCTCGGCTAAACATTCCGGGTAAAATCTTTGGTGAAGATATGAAGTGGCGATAAATGTACGCAAAAGTGGTAAAAGTCAAAATAAAATATTATACTTTCATTTTTGAAATTATAATTCCGGCTGCGTGTGCAGCTGCCAGAATGCAACGTTTTGGAGTAGTTTCGCGGCGATGCAAGGGGTATTTCAATAAAAAATACAGAAAAATTTCGATTTAAAACAAGCCCTTGTTTTAAAACACGATGTTTTTTTTAAATTGATAAAAAACAAAACCCTACTCTCTATCGTGACTTGAAGGTCTTTGGGAGTTTGGACAAGGGGACAAGTCTCTTAACGATACCATACTCTCCCGTCCATCAGAAAAACGAACTCAAGCATATGCGGGATTCACATTTTTCAGTTCCACTTCTTCAACTAAATCGTCATTTTTGTGTGGACGAACAAATTTTGGCAAAAAAGCATGTTTTGATCCGCACAACCAAGTAGGCAATGAATGTCCAATTGGAGAGCGATGTTGAAAGTTGAAAAATAGTTCATGCGGTGTTGCATTCACGGCTATGCAAAGCAAAGATCGGGGAGATTGAAGAGTTTTTGGTAACACAGACTCCCAATGTGTGATAGGCAGATTATATGTAGGCCTACGTAAGCATAAACGCACGGCTTCCCATATGATCCCATTTAATCGTTAAACTTGGGAGTTTCCAATTGGATGAAAAGGCGAAGATTACATATTCATACATATTCAAAACTATAAAATTCATTTTATAAAAGGAAACTTCAAAAGTGGGGATAATGATTCAAAATAAAGAATTAGGTGCGTTCCGAATCAAATACTCGAAAGGTCCGGATTCGGCCCGCCAGTTGAGTAGCCCTTCTCTATATTGCCCCAGAATTAGCGTATAGGCTACTGTTAATAATTGCCCTACCTTTATAATATAGTATAAGATGGTGCAAATGTTTTTATTATTGTGTCTGTGCTATTCTTATTTTATAGGCCTACTTATATTTTATACCGAGCCCGACTCTGTTATGGTGATCTATAATGTCACAGTGTAGCATTGGTATAATATATATATATTTTAGACATGTCCTCTATCATAATGTGCTGTCTGTGTCGAATCATGGAACTAAAATATCTGCTAATATTTAAGAATTATGGATATTGTTTTTCATTGTTTGTGGAAATAAAATCCCTCTCTCTCCCATGGCCTCCACCTGGTCGTTTCGCCGACTCGCCGTACGCGACAGACTGTTGCTGTTGAAGTCATCAAGGAAACTACCAAAAAGACCGGGAATTTGTTGAGATATCATGGCACCGGCAAAGGCCAATAAAACAACGGAAAGAAGTGACTGGAATCATCTAGCGCCCATCAACAATCTAACCTAAAAACCTTTCATATTCAGGTCCTAATAATTCATTGGAGTCATTAGAACTTCTGCGCTATTCACCAAGCCTCCGTCGAACCCCATCTTATTGAGCGTTTCAAACGAGGAGCGCATTGGGAATTTATAGAGTGGAAGCTAATTTTGCTCAAGGTATAACAAAGAATCATTGTGATTTAACCGAAAAATACCAATACATGCGTGGGAATAGCCATTGTTGTAAATTGTATCACAATAGTGTCAGCGGTGGGGAAGCAGATACTTTTCATTTTTAGGTTATGCGGGCGATGGTGGCAGTTTTTGACCTACAAATCGCCCCAAAATCACATCCTAAGCCAAGTTGGAACTGTGGAACAGGTATGGTAACTTATCTGGGTACCGGAGTACCAGGACTTTTTTCCAGGTCGTGTGACTATGGTGATTCATGCTTCCAGTCTGAACGTGGATTGAAATACCAAATAACCTGACTGTATTATCAAACATTTTACAGTACCGATATCGTAGTTTACCGATACCGATTTCGCCATTGTTGTAAATTGTATCACAATAGTGTCAGCGGTGGGGAAGCAGATACTTTTCATTTTTAGGTTATGCGGGCGATGGTGGCAGTTTTTGACCTACAAATCGCCCCAAAATCACATTCTAAGCCAAGTTGGAACTGTGGAACAGGTATGGTAACTTATCTGGGTACCGGAGTACCAGGACTTTTTTCCAGGTCGTGTGACTATGGTGATTCATGCTTCCAGTCTGAACGTGGATTGAAATACCAAATAACCTGACTGTATTATCAAACATTTTACAGTACCGATATCGTAGTTTACCGATACCGATTTCGCTGACGTCACAACAAATAATACCAAACAGAAAAGCAAAGGCTACATAGCCCACAGAAAGTTTTGAAATGAATGAAATAACCTTCTAGAAGCAACAACATTCTTCAACCACTACATATTTCAAGTACTTAATGAGAAAAGCTATTCTTCGGCAACAAGGAGAAAAATACAAAATGACACAACGATTCATAGGTCCACATCATGTCCAATGAACGTTTTCCTTATCCTTGACCCCAGAAAAATTCTCTCTATACTTCACTAATGCAAAATTTAGATACTCATTTTGGAGAGTGAACGTTTTAAACTGGTTTGCGGGTTCAAAACTATCATTTTTATTGAAATAATCAACCACGTATCGCTTTCAGGCTAATTTTGACCTGATCTATCGCAGATTTTTCGGGACTACCATTTGATTATCGCAACTAAATTAAAGCTCTTTAGAGGACATATTGACAGTTAGATTATCTGTTTTACTACTTTTAGAAACACGACTGAAAAATGACAAATAACACGCAAAAACACAACAAAAAGCTGGTGTTTACAACCATGCTTGCATATCATCTGTCTGAGCGAAATAAGTGTATGAACGACAGCATGACTTGCCATTGTTATGTCCCCGTTGACTTTTTTCTCATTGTTACGGAAATCCTCAAGGTGTCGGTCCCGCAAATATTTACCTCAAAACCCCAAGACATAATAACCATGATACTTCGTGACCATAAGCAGAAAGCACCTAAGAGCGCTATAATAGAAAAGTACACCCAGGCGTACAACATCTGTATTAATTTAAATGTTCGATGAATTGTATTGGTATTCAAGATGTAACAGTCATATAGCCTACAGGTTCACTTACTTCTGCGTGGACCTATACACAGTATTATGAGTTGTTTATTAAACTTGTAAGTTTGTATATCTGCGATGAACTATAGGTATTTTTGCATAATTAGTAGACTGGGTGATGGGAAGGTTTTATGATATGCAACTTCTTCAGAGCTCCTTTTTCGAACCCCTGGAACAGCTCCATCGGACCCAGGATGGGTACCACTGTATTGTAGTTTGTAGGGACCGATTCCTTCCGGTTTGGTCATCGAAACTAAGCATCATTCTCTTCACAATGCAAGTAGTAAAATACATTAGATGTTATTGAGCTATAACGAGAATATCCGTATAATTTTCTTAACATTAAATCCATATTTTGTCGCTGGAATTTTTGTTCCATGGAGAAAAATTCAGACATACATAGGCGATGGAAATATCGATATATATTAAAAAAAACGTCACTTGGTATCAATGAATTGACGACACGGATGCGTCATATGTCAGACCTTTATTGTAACTCGCTCCCTTAATTGCGGCGGTAGACGTAGAAAAGACTCATCAAGAATGAGCAATAATATTTACCAAAGGTAAACACATCTTCAGACAGAAAAGGACAGTTAGTTCTTTTAATAGTTAACCCAGTTGGAAGCAATTTTATTGAACATAGGCAGTTTTCAGATGTCGGGAACATATTCACCATTCATATCGAGTTTTGCTTATGTAACTAAAAATTACAGTTTATTCTGAGTATTGTTATTGATATATACAAAACCCACTTGCTGACGTTTTACGGGATAGCCTATTTCGTTACGTCGATTCCGTGTTTACTCGATTTGATGACGGGTCGAGTTAAACATTACCCTGATGCTTTCCCCAGTAATCGATTTTATGAGTCTACATCGTCGAACATGGTGGTAGCGACTGAGTAAAACGAGTCGAACCTAAGTTGGTACAAAAGCTGTTACTATGAGAAATGGTATCTATAAGATATTGTAGACTTATGCTGAAAATTGTAATACTTCTTACACATTGGAGTATCATTGAAGCAAACGTCTTCACGAACTACAAAAGTTCGAAGAATTACACACTTCCAACTCAAGTTGGCGAAGCTGGAAAAACTATCTCTCTCACCTGCCAAGATGACTTTTACGTGAGCATTCCACAAAACAATATCGTTGTTGCTTGGAAGAAAAAGGTAACATGCATTTGTAGAATAATAAGGCAAAACTTGAATAATAGGAGGATTATTGATAAGAAAACATAAATTATATTTTTTGGAACAAGTATCAGTCGAAACTTATGTATATATTAGGTTTTCAATTAAAATGTATGCATGCTATTAAACACCGTGCAGTGGTATGATTAGTGTATAGACCTATATATATAATTATCCTTATTATCCACTCTATGACCTATGACTGACTGGCCATATCTCAATTTCGTAAGAACCGCATGAAAATTACCATTTATTGGTACTTATAACGCACTATACGGCCATCGACATGCTCAAAAATTGTTCCGGAATGCTGGAAAGAGCAAAGTTCATTGCTACAAAAGAGAATATCTGAGCATAGGTTAACACATTATTGTTTGCACAATGGAAATATTGCGTGATGGAGTCGCGTGATTCCAATCACAGTTGACGTCTAACGAAGTGTATCTCATTATTTTAGTCTCAAGGCGTTGTTCATTTCTTACTTTTTGCCCACTAAAACCGTAGCAAATAGAAGCACACAAGTACGAATTGAAGTATATATATATTGCTTTTGTACTGACTGTGAAGCGTTTTGCAAAAGCAAATAGAGATATTATTGAGTGATAACAAGAATATCCGTGATGGCTTAAGAACACACACACATATAAGCTTGGTGTTTCCTTAGTGTGGGGGGGGGGATTTCGGCCCCTTTGATATAGGTCGGCGAATCAAATGTGAAATGTTTTTTACATCCAAGTCTGACGCTCATAAAAAGTAATCCAACTTGAGGTTGTGGAGCCTTGCTCTGTATTTGCTGTTATTCGCTGGTATTGAAATCGTAGCAGGTGTCGTTTCATCAAATATATATTATATATATATATATATATATATATGTCCTAGAACCAGAGCCGAAAGTTCCAAATTCCATGAGTCTGGAGTGGGACAAATCCTTCTCTGACTGCACAGCCCGAAATTATGCGCAATTTTATGACAAAATGATAACATAATCGTCACGCTAATAACCGAATTGCGTAAGTCATTTGGGCGATTTTGAGTTTTTTATAAATTAGGTATTTATGTAATGCTGCGCACCTGACTGTTAACTGACTGTTGTTTTATTGTAAGAATTCCGAAACCCATAAAAATTGAGATTTAGTATGACGTGCACATTTGTCCAATTGTTTCGTCATAATGAATTATCATTTTACCGCAGGACTATTGTGACGTCACAAAGGCAAAATAACCTCGGCGAGGTATTTTCGAGTTTTTGAATCTCGGATTCTAGCTTAGCGCGTATTAGTTTGAATTTATACTACAGTATAGAAAAGCATGTACTTGTGATATTTACTGTCCGAGTCCAATTCACCTTGGTTGGCTTTTATATTGGGTGCATTGCTGTTTTATTCTTTATATTTAATCTTAGTCTTATTTCGGTGGGTGTGCAGAACGTGTTATATTATTGAAATATATATTTTTGAACGTAAAAAATAATGTAATTGAAACTGATTAGCTATTTTGGGGATTCGACATTGTAGATACTGAAAATTACATTCGTTTTTGAAAAGGTGAAGTTTTCAGGACTGGTGCATATAATAAAGTTTCAAAATTGCGTATGTCCCCAAGTCATAGACACATATCTGCCTAAGTCACAGTGCGCCATTATGACGTGACTTAACTGCGTCATACAAATTATCTTAAATCCGGCTATGATCCAAAAATTGAACCATGGAAAATTATTGACTCTCAATGGCATAACAATATCATTAGGAAGTTTTTTACGTTTTTCTCAAAACTGCTAAAAATGACTTACGCAATTCGGTTATTAGCGTGACGATATATATATATATAAATGAAATAATCAATTTGATATTCATATTGCAGCCAAAGTCGGAAAAATCATGGATTCCTTTGCATCAGAATGCTCATATTTTAATCACAAACTGCTCTGAATCACAAAAAAGGCCAAAGGAATGCTTGGGCAAAAATGTTTTTTCTGCACTTACAATTGAAAAGCTATCTTCAACTGATGCAGGAATATATGCGTGTTATGTGAAGACAAAATGGAAAGAAACTGTTATTGGAAAAACAAGATTGATAGTTGGATGTGAGTCCTGCAAAATTCAATTTTTATTTATAGATATATTTCAATAAAAAGACAAGAGGAAATATTTTAGAAATCAAATTTGTTTTTCCATTTATACTATACAGTAGAGTTTGTAACACAATCATCTAAAAATTATTGCTGGTATTCAATGTGCCTGGTTTTTGAAGCTTTTGGTTTTGAGCTACTCAAAAATGACGAATTCGAATCAAGGTTGATTTTTGGGTTGACAGTAGGTTGCAAAATATGATGGTACTGTGTTACTACCTCCTTATCGTCCGATACTTTCTAGGCACAAGGTGGACTTACTTATATATTTTCAAGTATCTTTTTTTTTAATTCCATTTGATTCCTGCGCCCATTGTTCACATTCACCACTTCGATTTTCCGACAACGGATTCAAGCAAGCACTCGCTTCACATCGATTTGCTGGTACTGTACCTGCCTGTCCATATACTTGTACGTTACTCTCATTTTTAAACCATTCAACTTAGTCCCATAATAACGTAAAATACAAAAAGAGCGAAGCAAGTGTATGATTCATATGGAAGATATTTGTTCGAATTTGACGTTTGAATAAGATATATATAAAATCATTTAGATCCTCCTGAAGAACCACAATTGGCAGAAAACCATTGCATTTTCAAATGGGATGATGATTTGATGACGTGTTGTTGGAATCCAGGAAAGCAAACATTTATTGAAACTAACTTTCAAATGAAATATCAGATGTAAGATCGAAAGTTTCATTACATATACAGATCCGTACTTCATGCGCAAGCGGTTTACACTGCTTTTATTGTTGTTATTTGTATTACCCAACGATTAGTTTCAGATTTTCTTTATTCATATTTTTACATCCATACGCACAAGATTAGATATGTATATTTAAGTAGAAAAATTTAAAATGTCGTTTTCTTTTTTTTATTGCGCTATTTGAAAAAAACTGACTAGAAATCATATAACTATCAGTAGAGGTTACTCCCAATCCTTCCTCAATGCCTTTGCGCTAGTGGATCCGTATGCGTATATTGCAAGGATGCTGTAGCAGGAATAAAAATACCATAATATGCAATTCATGAGTCCTGCTGCACACTAACACTAATGTTTTTCTGTAACGTTTCGTCTGACCAAGGTCAGACTTCCTCAGACAATATAGAAATCATAGATTGAAAAGTTTACAATAATCTCAGAAATGCATCATTTTATCATTATTTTATCTCTTTGTGGGGTTGTTTGGTTATCATTTCTTAAAATGTTATTGGTCATGATGTGAAACTTTGGTAAATACAAATTTTTCAGGCATGGAGACTTATTGAAAGTCGTAAATTGCTTGAAAACTGACAATTCTGATGTATGTTGCAAAGTCGATGTTGAAAATCGGTTTGAAAAACACAATATTTCATTAGAAGCTTCAAACAACTTTGGAAAATCAGCGTCATTGAGCCATTCTGTCATTCCATCGCTACATGGTAATATATATATATTTTAAAGTTACTGATCATACAATATTACATATTGCGTTTAATGTAAAAAACTGTGAGAGTAAAATTTAAAATACTGTTCAAGCTCCTTCTGGAATTAGACAAGCTATTTTCAACACCATTTTTATGAGTAAATACCAAAAATAAATAAAATGTGCAGTAAGTAGCGGTGAATAAATAAATTTTATCTTTGTGTCTATTGAAAAAATCTATTTTTAGACCGAAAAGTTAAAATACAACCATCATTAAATATTTGTACACTCTGTGTATTTATTTTGTCCGTGACACAACGAAGAGAAGAATATTTTTTTAAATTTATTTTATCTCGTAGATATTCGATTATTTTGAAAGGAGCAAAACAGAAACGATAAAATATTAGTTTCATTTTCCATATAAATTGACTTAAATGTTTGAATAGATATTTAACAAGAATAAAACAAGGAAAAATTTGAGTATTTTTCTGATAATATGTTATTTTTATATTGCAGTACTTCACAGTAAATAAACTATTACAACGATAAGCTAACAATACGAAGAACTGTGATAATTCTATTCTAAGCGGAATGCTTTTCGAGTGTTTCAAATTCGTTATTTCGATTAGAGTTAAATTTAGTTCAATTCTAGAATTGAATTATATATAACAGTGGTTCTCAAACGATGTGGCGCGTCCCGCAAGGGTGACATAGAAATTTTTTTGAGGGGGCGTGAAGCTAATTTAAAATAAAAATATTTCATAGATTTGTCTTGCCCGCCTTATTTTGGATATTTACATTTCATTATTTTAGATATTTACATTTTATTATTTTGGATATTTATGTTCTATCCACGTATTTTCAACGTGTTTTTCAAATGAAATATTCATTTGCCCTATTATCTGTTATTTGTAGCCTATTTTCAGCTAGTTATTTTTGAGGTGGGGCGCGAGACTTGACAAATTCTAAAAAAGGGGATTGAAAAGTGTGAGAACCAGTTATATATAATGTATAGTGAACACTTTTCTAAGTTTTTGAATGATCACTTTTGTAAAAACAAGTGTAACAAATGATATATATACAAATTTGGAAACGGCACTTAATATCAATTCTATTTTCCTATATCAGTAAAACCAAAAGTTCCGACAAACCTGTCACTAAAATCAAAAATTGTCAACAATCAGATGAATGATATTATAGTGAAGTGGAAGGAACCGAATAATGGATATATCAGTGCCTACGTTTACAGAGTTCGGTATTCTTTATCGCAACCAAGTCCTAATTGGAAGGCAAGTTATATTAATATTGTAATTAACTTTACAATCAACAACGTAGAGCGTCAAGAGGTTTCATCAACCACGACTCAATTTTGGTTCAATAAAAATCTATTACCGACTCCGAGGCAATAAAATTTCGACTTCCAAAGCTCTAGCATTGTAGTTGTTCAGGTTGAAAGTACGACTCAAACCACATTACCAACGAGAACGCAAATCGTACAAGTAGCCGCACTCCGACAATCAATATTATTCGATCTCATATGTTTAAATAGCTGTTTGAACCTTGGGCGTCGCTGCTTTGGTTCCCCACGGTTTCCCTTCTCTAGTGAAATGTGTATTGAATTTATTCTTTATCCATTATTTCGCATTTGCTGGATATTGCATGATCTTATTGTTGAAACAAAACTTAGCTATTATCCGTTCGAAACTACCATAGATATTTTTATATTATTATGTTTATGACCACTGTGTATTTATGCGTCACCAAAACGCCATTTAGTGCGTATAGAATGAGCAGAATTCGTGACATACTTGTCTGTACCTGATTGAACGTGAGGTTCAGTTCAACTAAGTGAAGAATAACATGCCTTATGTAGGGGTCAATGACATTGGCAATGAATGAAAGGTGCCGTACCTTTACTTTATTACATGATTTCGCAATAAAATGTGGCAAGTTTGTGTTGACTGAAATGAAAGTTAAATATCTCGTTTGTCATATCATAACGATCAACCAAATTTATTTCTGCCCATATTCGATAGATTATCAAACCTATTTACACACTGTTGAAATTTTTGTTTTTACATGAATGTCGAAATACATTTCAATTAGGATTTCGATAGTGTATCGCATAAAATGGTGGTGCAGTATAAATCAAATAAACCGATACAAATAAATAGAATCTTTTGCTTTAACTCACAGAAAACTATTGCGTTATTTGTTATGTTTTTGCACCGTTTTGCGTAGCTTGTGTGCGAAATATAAATGATATTTAAATTTTTTTGACACGCAGATCGAATATGGAAATTCTGAGACAATATATGTTTTGGAAAATTTAAAGTCGTCGACTGAGTATGTGATTCAAGTATCAGCCAAACCTGACAATATTAATTCTATTATTGATGGAGTTTGGAGTAGCTGGAGTAAAAGTGCTTCCATAAAGACGGATCTTACAGGTAGTTTTAACAAGGAAGTCCAGAACTAATGTTTTTTTTAACATTTTTAAAACGTCTGCACAGACACTACAAAAAATTAAATTTTATACAGTATCATACGAGCATCGTTCTGTACTTTAAAATAATAATTAAAAACTCTGCATTGTAGTACTTTACAGACACTAAAAGCAAAATTTTAAATGTAATTTTATTTTGGTCCGAATTTGATATATTTTTAATTTTTCTTTTTTTCTAAAAAAACTCTAATTTTGCCGTTATCACAGCTTAGAATTGTTACAGCTCTACATTGGTAGTCTCAAATATTTTAAATTTTTGGTAATCCTAAATTTGTCTCAATTTACCTCCTAAAAAGTTTAGCGTTCGATGTATGCATTTTGATGTTGTAAAAGTAATCCCGTAGTATATGTACCAGGTTAGGGTTATTTAGTTCTATTACGAGTTCGTGGACTGTCTGTGTTCGCCAAGTGAATATAGGCCTATAGGTTCCAGTCACTTTATACAACTTGATGTAAAGAAGGCAAACAAAATTAGTTACCTCCATATTGGTACATACACTCCTGGAGCGCCGTTGTAAATACAGGTTGAATGTTACATTATCGGGCTCATTCGCGCGGTCTAAAACACTTATTAGTTAGGCAAACGAACCACGCCCCTTCAGTACGAGACCAATTGTTGATTGTGTTCCATTTTTTTAAACCTGTTCATATATTTATAGTTCCTTCTAAGAAATTCACGTTCAAACGACCGAAAACAACAATTTCATTTACCGGGAGAAATTATTCAACGGAAATAACTTGGCTTCCCTACGACAATCAACATGAAAGTGGATTCGTTGATAAAATATCATGTGGAAAGTGCGAAAGCAATGACGAGGTACTTATTTGTTCATGTCAGCCTATTTCGTGCGCTTATATGTTTATCATTCTCCTTTGTTTCCTTTCTCATAATGTACATACTGGTTAGGAAATTTCGATCCTATTTAAATTCTGTACATAAATATTCAAAAAATACTAAAAGAAAAATGAATCTTGTTGAATTCTCCTACGATACGTGTTTTCATACTTGGCTCTGTTGAAAATATATTTCATTTCTCTTACCCAGTTTTGTCGTTCTTTTAACTCTGACATGGGCTACGGCCCACGGGACATATCCGACCCGTTGAATAATTCAATCTGACCCGCCTGATGCTGATGCACAGCTAAACTAAACCAAATTTTGTATGTTTGAGCTAAAAATAGTTCAAGGAATTTGTTGAGATTGCGATTAATTTATAATTTTGGCACGAGATCTATTGTTTTCCACTACATTGTAAGCATTGTTCGTAAAATGTGACTTTTACGTCCACATACATGGCCCGCCAGTCCCAGTTGGGCAAAATTTTGGCCCCTTCTCCAAAAACCTTGCCCATCACTAAAACTAAAAAAAACTTATATTCTTTATTTTGTTCCTTCAAATTCTGACATTTTATTTCGTTCACTGAAAGGTTGTATCAGAGCTTCATAACGCAACACAGTTTGTATTCCGAACGTATTTTGGTGAAATTTGTTGCAGCGGCAGACATTGTAATAATGCTGGTTGTTCTGAAGAAGATTCAATGCACATCAGAATAGAAAAAGGTAATGATGCTTTTAGTGATCAGTTTTCTTTGTGCTGCATTGCGGAATTAACTATCAAAAATATTGCTTTCCCAAAATTTGAATGAACAAATATATTGAGGAAAGTCCTTATCAACGCACCGACAACGCGTTGTTATTTTTCGTTGAATATTTGGCGCTCCAAAATTGTATGTACCAATATGGAGGTAACTAATTTTGTTCGCCTACTTTACATCAAGTTGTGTAAAGGGACTGAAACCTGCGCAGGGGGTATATTCACTTGGCTAACCCAGGCAGTCCCCAAACTCGTAATAGAACTAAAATAAGGAAACCGGGATAAAACTATAGCCTAACCTGGTACACTACGGGAGTACCGAATATTTTATACGACGTATTTACTCGCCTTCGCGCGGAACAAGCATTCATCACTAGCTAGGAAAATACTATATTCATCAAAGACAGAAATCTTTCGATTTTCCCTCATCTATCAATTTTATTTTGCTCCGCGGGTTAGATGGTTTCCATGGAGTTTGAACCTGAGATGCTACCTACCATGTACACCACCAGAGATAAGTCTAACGCTTTAACCATTAAGCCACCGTGCTCATGTAATATAAGAGAAGTCTGGGGTACATCATGTCCCGAAATATATTAAAATTCATATAAAATTATTCCAAGTACACTACAATAAGCTCAAACCAGAATTAAAATACAAGCTCGATACTATCATTTGAAACTTGAGGTCTAAGATCTAGATTCATCCAGTCGATCAAATTGCATAAATCAATCGTTGATGTTTTGCAATATTCAGGGAAAATTGCATTGATGTTACGAGTGGGAATAACTATCGTAAGATTATGTTGTAAAAAGTGTTTGTTTGTATTGCTGAATCAGCCCGCTGCTATAAATTAAGGCAAGGTCGTAATTTCGAATAGGTTGGAAATATAAAAACCCGATGTCGCTTAAACGTTGAGAAAGAAGATCCGATTATTTAATTTCTTTTCAGATCGATCAGTTATTAAGTTATACCTTGTGTTTTGGACCCTGCTTAGGGTGCCGTTACGTTCTTTTTACAATGACAAACTGACTGCAAAACATTGCTAATGCGTGTTTACTCATCCAGCGTGTATGAATTTTTATAGATCAAATTTGCTTAGCGGGAGATGGTTGTCGGGTAGGTCAACATAACGCTGGTCATGCGAAATAGCGATTTATGAGAATGTCCATATGTCGTGAAAATGTAGAATTAATTCCTCTATATATGGGAGGAAATGAACAAAATGAACGATAAAAATTTTCGTCCTTTTTTCTCTCTCAATCATAAGTAGAAAATACTGACTGAAACGAAAAACCTTTTGCACGCCGTGAAGCTTTTGTATAATTAAAAAAAAAACTTTTTCAGCTCCCCCGACAATCAAAAACGTTACCATCAATAAGATGAATGAAACGTATCTATTGGCCACATGGAATCCTCCGTCAAGATCTGAATCTTGTGTAATTAGAGTTTGCATACGAATGAGGTAATCAGTTTTTGCTTGCTCTAAAAAGAAAAACGTGTTGTTATGTTAAATACTGAGTCTGAATTAAACATTAGAATTCAATATTTTCAAACACTTGATATTAACTCTGAATTGATATTATCCAATAAACATACGTGAAAACTAATTCCATTAATATACGTATCCTCAACGTATAACATGACTTTATATAAGGAGAAGATTTATGTTGTACAAATTATAATTATAGTGTGTATAGTTCTTCCTCGATTTTAACGCAAAAACATCAAAATCGTCTATAAATTCGTTCATACAACGAACAATTTTCCCATCAAGGTTTGTAATATTAGCAAATGCTAAAAATTTAAGTTTATAAAAAAGTGTGTATACGGTTATATATTTATTATTTTTACCAAATTTTTATCTAGATCTTCCGATTTGAATCAGACCGAAATTTTAAATCCAATCAATAATTGCGGATGGAATGGTTTTGAGATGCTAAAAACTACAGACGTTGATTGTGCATTAGGTGCCTTTTCAATTATTGATGATTGGAGTCCGTGTTTTCTGTACAGCATCACATTGGAAAATCATCACGATGAGATTATATCTCAATCCTATCCCAGCAACATTATATCCAGTAAGATATTGTTATTGTGCGCTACATGAGGACTGTTTGAAGTATAGAATAAACCTTGCTACATTTCTGTATCGAGTTTTGGGGTACTCCTGTAGTATGCGAATCAAGATGGCGAACACCGGAACGTAGTATGTCCACCAGGTTGGGGTTAGGCCATGATTTTATTCCAATTTTCCTTATTGTAGTCCTATTACGAGTTCGGGGACTAGCCAAGTGGCTCCCGTAGTATTTGTACCTGTAATTATTGCCTAACCCTAACCTGGTACACATACTACGTTCCGGTGTCCGCCATCTTGGTTCGCTTACTACAGAAGTACCCGTTTTGATAGTTTAGCAAATACAGTTTTATTGTCAAGGGAACTTCATTGTTTTGAATTTTCCCCGGGATTATCGACTTTGTGGCTCGGACTAGAAGAAATGCAAAACCGTCGGTATTTATTGTTTCTTTTTGCAAAAATATGCTTGCATGTAGGAATTGTAGCAAGTCAGTCCTCTAATAGTGTAGTATCTACTTGCAGAATAGGGTCAGTGCTAGAAAATTCTAAATTAATACTCATTTTTGTCTTTCATATCAGTACAATGGCATTTTGTCTTATTATCGACTGAATGCGAGTGAATTTACGTTCGCATTTCTTCGGAGAGTTGTATATATAATATTCACAATATATTTCCGATAAAATTTTTCATGTTGTATTCCAGATAATTGGATACTTAATAGGATTGATCATTTTCATTCTACCGATTTATCAACAATCTCTAACTTTCAATTCGACGTAATGTGGTCGACTATACCTTCGAAGATTTGTGAACATATGCAACCGTACCTGATATATCAGCCGACATCTGGTTCCGAGTGCGCCGATCTGACCAAATGTAACACGGAGTTTATGAAAAAGGTTTGAGAAATAACTTAAATTTACGATATTGTGGATACACAATGCCGAAACTCAGCCGTCGTTTGGGTATTTAGTTAAGCTGACGCTTCAAACCGAAATTTGGCATTGCTTCTCATTGTAAGCCATAGGTTCTGAGGTAAACCAATAGAATCCGGGTATAATTCGAGCGATGAACTCAGGTATATACTAACATTTTCAATTTGAACCTTATATGGAGTCACTGGGATAGCATTTCGAGTATGTTGCTAACATCATACTCGATATACTGCAAATATTTGCGAAACTACACTCCCGCAAAGATACATAGGTGAAAGATTTGTCCTAATCGGAATATCTTGTATTCTTTTTAAATTTATCGGTATGGGTAACACCACACGTCATCATAAAAAATTGCAAAACCAAATCAAATTCTTGTTATATCATTCAGCACGAAGACTTTCGAATCCAGTACAACCTATTTATCAACAACTTATCAACAGTTGAGCATATAGTTTGAATCAGTGTTTTACACAAAGCAATTTCATCTGAGGTTTCCTAAATACAAAAAACTAGTTTTGACTGACCAAAAGTATTAAAATTTGTTCAAGCATTATCGAAGTATTAATCCTTATACTCCGAGTTTGTTATGACGTAAAGAGCAACCTCGGACCTCCGGTTTTATTTCAGAATTTCTGTAATTTGGACGCAGGACTGGAGGGAAAACTTGGCCTATGCTACTAAGAAGACCTTTAAACAATCGTGCTAAGGTTCAACTACCGGACCATTTCAGCAAAATAATGTAATATGGAATAGACAATAAATACACAGCTGTCTATGCCCATGACTTGACATTATGAGGTAATTTCGACATTCTATTCTTGCTAAAATTCCCGTGTTTTTAACAGGTGTCTTGCTCAGAAACAACAACTATAATATCGAACCATATTCATGGCAACACTGAGTATATGGCAGAAATGTACATGGTATGCAACGACCAAGATTTGTCTGACATAAATTACCCAAGTTCTTTCCGCTTACCAGTTCCGGGGGCAAGGATCAGAGTCACAACTGCTGTTGGAAGTGAGAACTTTTTTCTTATTTTTAGTTTTGTAGAAAATTCGTTATTGCATCAGATTTGTTGAGATACAGATACGATTCATAATCTGAAGAGATATTTGAATTAGCCGTTACTGTACATAAAAGTATCTAACGTTTTTAATAAAAAATGAAAAAAAAATTAACTACTATTTTCTGAGCCTCTGTTCTTAGGAGTTCAAAAAGCAATATAGGCAAAAGCCGTCGCCGTGAAAGTGATCATTACTCGACATGATGCTTCCCAAAAGCACAAAAAACGCTTACAAGATTTGCCCAACTTACTAATGGAAAGAGAATATAATGGGATGGAAATATAATATATATAAACATTTCACCATAAGTTTGCGAAATGATTCATTTGGCCTATATCGACTCACAGGCAGGTATTTAGAAATTGTTTTATTTATTTTGAAGGACCAGAAGTTCCTAATGATATGAGCATGTCCTCTTCAGCATCAGCCGAAAGTGTACTCACCTGGAACAAACCACTTCACTCAAATGGTGACGTTTATTACGAAATAATACAAGAAGCAATGCCGCCCACACAGGCATATAATTTCCATACGTTCACAGCAAAACAGACGAATTTAAAAGTAGATATAGGATGTCCGTCGTCACAAAGGAATGCAACTACGCTGCAATTTACTCTGGCCGCTTTCAACAAACTTGATAATGGGACGAAACTCAGGAGTGAGAATACAACACTTGAAGATATCGAATGTGTCGTATTGGCAAGTATGTGGAATTAGTTTAAACTGCGTTATTCGTGAAAGTAAAAACTTGTATTTGCATACCCAATGCCCCCCTATCTTAAACAAAAAAAAAATTGATGCTATACATAAGTTTATAATGAACAAACGTGTATGAGCGTATGTAACTCAATTTTGTTTAGCTTATTTTAGCTATGTTTTTAGATGGCCAGAGTTTACTCTCGCATATGCATTTCATACAGCGTGCATGTCTTTCTGTACGACATGAAAGAAAGAAATAGTTTTATGACTGTTCACCATATATATCTATATATTATCTTCCACGTAAGGTTCGCCGATACGGCGTCGAAACTTTAAATAAGGCCCTTAAAAATTTCTACGTTGTCGAAAAAAAATGTAATTTGACTAGTGATACAAAATTTTGAAAATGAGTTTATATTTCGCCCCACTGCTGATAATTTACAAATAACTGGCTAATCTAATCCCATGACCGACATGGGCTCATAACCGGATGAAAGGCCGTTTAAGCCGTCTTATCGACTTTCCTCTCCTTCGGGATAAATATGTAAATATGTCGGTCTGCGATCCGACAATCGTGTCACTCATAAATGCGTATACATTGGAGCTATCAGCGTATTGGCAGTGAATATTGTACCGCCTGTTGAAACCGCCGGCAGTAAATTTTCTGCGTTGGCCTACATTTGAAAAAATAGTCAACAGTTATAGGTAAAGCAGATCTTCGAAATATTGTCGCCAAAATCAAAATCCAGCTTTGTTTGCTCGGCTCGAAACATATAGTTCACCGTTCTCAAATATAAATTGTAATATTTTAAAAAAAAAAAGTACGTTTCGTAAAAGTCTGTCATTGTTCTGGGCTGTAAAGCGTCTCGCACTGATTAAATACAATGGCGGTAGAACGAAAGGTGCGAGAATAACTTTCTAGTGTCTCAGTTGTGTTTTTACAGATTTAAACTAAATAAATTAGGAACAAAGCTGTTCTAAAACACTTGGGTTGCGAGACTTTAAGAATAAATTTTCGAGTCGCGACGATCAATAAGTAATTGCAGACATTTGTCTTATAACTTCGATTGTTGGACCACAATTGATTTTTATTTATTTGCCATTTCTGTGTGATTAACAAAAGATTCGATGTCTGACAAAACATATATATATAAATAATAATACCTGATTGTACCTGTTATAGAACCGATGAAATTTACAACGAACATCACAACAGTCATCGTAATCTGCATCGCAATTTTAGTCTTTATTATGGCATCAATCCTTGTGTATTATCATCGGAGAAAGTTGACAAAAAAGATTCATAAAAGCTTTTGGCCAACTATACCTGAACCACGCATCGACCCTAACGTTACGTTGACGAACTCGCCGACCTCAGACTATCATCGGGAGAATAACCATAGATCTGAAGATCCAGAAGAAACGGTTTCCGCCATTGAAAATGGGAATGTTACCAACAACGACCAAAATCCGCATATGATAACTTTTACACGTGTCAATACTAGGTAAGGTTGATATACATATTTGAACATTTTTACAATATTTACGAATCTGCGCATTTTTGTGAATGAGAATCTTACTGGCATTACAAATATGGGTCCACCACAACGGATACTGAAATTATTTTCGACAAAATGTATGTATTACAGAATGCCGAAAAACACTGACTCAACACTTACTATTCAAGAAGAGGGCATTGAACATCAAATGTTTCAAAAACGATTATCATCAACACGTGAGTAAATACTTTTATTTCTTGGAGGTTAAAACTTTTGAAGTATTTTCCTTTACTTTATACACTGTTTGGTCAAGACATATGAGTGTATATACAGTCTTTATAATTCCGCTATATATACGAATACTTTAGAGCAGTGTCCGGAAAAGTTTTTTTTAAAAGGAGGCCCAAATAGTAAAATAGAAAAGGGTTCAAGGTCCAACAACTTTGTTGTAAATTTTAAATTTAACCACGTAATAAACTTGTTAATGGACATTTAATTTGTTTAGCTGAAATGAATGTAATTTATGATCGTTTCATATATAAACAAAAACTGTTTGGAATTTTTTTATATGTAATGTTAGATTTATAGAACGTTTTTGTGTAACTGAATTTTATTGGAGGCCCACTAGAAAATGCTCGGTCGCCCTCGATTGGACCGCGGCCCACAGTTTGCCGGCCGTTGCTTTGGAGCAGTGATTCTCAACCATTTTCAGTTCGCGGATCGGTAACATTTCAAAACGAATTTTGCGGACCGGCGGGCGGACCTTCAACATTAACCAAAAATGTCAGGAACACAAAACATAATCAAAAGAATGCAATTACGACAAAAGTAGGCGGTGCAAAAGAAGACAATTCAATTCAATAAGAAATTTGCTGCTGTCTTTTTTGATCTTATACGTGTTAAACGCAGTTCTAATGAAGTTTCTGGAAAGCGAAGTAGGGCGTTGACTTCCGCACGTTTTTCTTAGATTTGCGGGTTTCATTGCGTCGTTTGAATTTTGGCGCAGACTAGGCACATGAAAAATGGAAACCTAGCTCCAAATACTGCTCCATACTGCCTAATACAGTCTCCCTTTCGTTTTTTGCTTGTTTTTGCGTGGTCCATATCAACATTGCTGCAAGGTCGTTTCTGGGCATGTTGTAAATTGAAGTAGCAGTCTCTGTCCTGTCAACACCACTTGGCTTTCACCGCTGGGTTTCTTTTGAAAGGACTGGATAATACTTTGCAGTTTATTTGCCTCCATTTTACTATCAAACCTCGCTAAATAATAGGCCTACTGTCAAATTACGGAACGTGTGAACTGCGAAGTCCTCAATCAGGTACCGTACCATGTGCTATCAAACTCCTCCGTTATGACGTTAGTCGCCGTTATGAGGTCATAGACTTATCGAATATCCAGTCGGCCAGGGCTTGAAATGGGCAGAGGACCCCTCACCGGGTTGAATTGTTAGACGAATACCGGTACTACAAATCAATAATAGTTAAAAAAAATCACAAAGTTAATAGACATGTCGTCAATACTTTGTATTTTGCAATCTGCTAATGATATATTGATATTGGAATATTTGGCGGACCGGCAGCAAGGTTGCCACGGACCGGCGGTTGAGAACCACTGCTTTACAGCAAACGCTAGCTCCACTATTATATATCGAACAGTCGATGAAAAAAATTAATATTTTGAGTAATATTGAGCACGTTATATTAGGTTTCATTTTGAAAGAGATAGGAACAAATGGCATTTTTAAGCGGTAGTTAACAGTGAGTATGCCTCTCCATATTGCCTTTCAATTCACATTCAAAGCATATTTATTCAAGCTGGAGCACGGGTGTGTATAGACTGAACATCAATAGTATTTTACTGAGTTAAAAAAGATCCATAGCTCACACACTTCCGTCGAATCGTTTACCTAGTACATTTCTAATATATTTTACTATTTCATTATTAGATGGACATACGAATTCAATAGCCACTAATGGTGACCAGAATAACGTACCACAACCAATCCCCGCACATTCTCACATCGACATTCAATATGTTGCCGAAGCTGGGGAGGCGCTAAAATCGGACAGAGACCCGGAATATCGATCGTTAAGTTTGAGCTCATCTGAGTGTAGCACAAATAACAGATCGGAAAGTACTTCATCTGGATGTTTGAAGCGATATGTTAAAGTGTTGAATAGTTCGAATGAAAAAGTGACATTGCCACCACATGGGCATGAATGCGTAACATACAATGTATCAAACGTGCAAGCAACTGAAACAAATAATGAACACAGTTTACGACAAGCCATCAGCGAAGATTATCTTGCTGATGTCGCTGGCTTTACCGGTAACACACATTCAAATGATACCTCACAATTACATAATATGATGAAAGCCGAGCGGAAATTCAATTGGTCAGATGAAGACATAAGACTACCAAATATAGAAAATCATATGGTAAATATCATTTTACATTTGGTCGGGAAATTCGAAATCCATTTACATTTATTGATAATTTTGGCCACGAAGTGGACCTATGGGTCGTTTTGATATTATGTTGTTGTTAGTATTCTTGTTCTTGTGAAAAACCGCCTTTTTCTGCTACTATTTGACCAATTGCTTGGAGATTTTCAGTAGTTAAAGATTGTTGTTGTCACCATAAAGAGATTCCTTTTTTCATTTGTAAAATTTCTGTGATCTCGATAGGATTCATTTTTTACTTTGAAGTTTTGTGTGATGACATCATCAGAATTGCGCACCGTGTGGCGATTTTGCGATCGCATTTTAGCGATCTGGCGGTCAAGTTTTTCGAGTGTAAGAGATTTCATACTACTGCGTTTTGGTCCCCGTGTCCATATATTTGAGCATTGCTCTCTCGTTTTTGTAAGTAGATTTTTCTGAGCAATTCGTCTGGTTGCTATTTTGATTTTACATAAACAATATCTATACCATACAATAAAATCTTCCGGCGACTTGAATTCCTTTTCACGAATTAGTATTAACAATTATTCTGATTATTGCAGGAATATTTGACAGAAGAACATCCTTATAAGCCACTGTGGCAAGATGATGTTATTCGGAGCATTGACATAGATATGGAAGATGGCGGCTTTAGACTGTCTGACTTAAACGTTGCGTCAGATAAAACGGATAATTTTTTAAACACTATAGAATTGAATAAAGATCCTGATCTGGATTCATATTTACTCGAAAATTCTCGTCAAAAAGAATCTTCTTGTGATTCTCTTCTTATGAAAAGGTTATCATCTTCTAGCGGAATCCAAGAAGACCTGAATGATTCGGAAGACTTAAATTATGAAATGGAAAAATTTTTAGGAAACTGTTTTCCTACTGAAACATCTAAACACGATTTCGAAGAAAATATTTCCCAAAACACAAAGTTATTGGACGATAAAAGGTTTGTAATAGACCCAGTGTGCGAAGAAGAATCTTATATCGATCTTGAAACAAATCCTTTAGTAATAGAATGTTAGCTTCACACACGCAAATGTATTATATGAAAGATTGTCTCATATATCAATATAATATTATTATTCGTCACGTAGTGAACCTATGGATCGTTTTGTTATTAGGTTGTTGTGCTTGTTGTCATAGTCATTACCTACTGAATTACCCGTTACCTACTGAGAATTTTAAAGCAATTGGTCCAGGATTCAAAGAGAAAAGCGACTTTTTCATAACGATAAAATTCTATGTCTTGTTATAAACAACAAGACATTTTGTCGTTATGAATAAGTCGCTTTTTCCTTTGATTGCTGGACCAATTGCTTTGAAATTCCCAGTAGGTAAATTTTGACTTTTTCGCTAAAAGCCTATCACTTTTATTTATTTCAAACATTTCTGGGAGCTCTATGGGATTCGTTTTTTTGTGCTATGACGTCAACAAAATTTGCCACCTTAATATTTTTATCAATATAAAATGAAAGCAACAGTGACTTGAAAACAGTTTCGGTACATCGAGATACATTTCAAATACAATTTTGCTTGAATTTACTGCATCAAGTTGCCAATGGCTGTTTTAATTTCAATCAATTTAAAAGTAAAAACCGATGGAAAAATTCACAATTAAATTCATAGGACCGTTACATATTGTTTTGTTCGTTGTATTTCACATTTTTTGTTTGCGTGACAAGACAACGGTTTTCAAAAACCTGAGAAATTTCTATCTTAATGAAAATTCTAATATATGCATTTTTTGTTTTATTTTATATTTTCCCCGTTCATTTTCTTGTTAGAAATTATGAAGTTAGAAAAGGAAATCAAATTTTTTACTATATAATTTGTTTTGGGATTCACTACAGAGTGAATGAACTATTCAGAAACCTACCTCAAGCTAAATGTTTACGAGCATTTTTCGGTAAGGTTCGAATTGTTTCCTCATATTCTCTACTTTTTCTTTATATATATATATATTCCAAAAACTTCATCAATAGTTCAACCTTCAACGTCGTGAATTTCTTTCATCTCATCCATGGAGGGGTGAAACAATACCAGGATTTCCGAACTGTTGATTACTCGAATAATTAACGAATCAACATCAATGAGATAATAGGCTACTTTTTCAGATTTGGACTTGTAAAGAATCTTGTAATCACGTATACAATCGTTCAAAACAAGCATCTTCAATATCACCTGTTTTGTCTTCACATAGTATCCGATCTTATGTTTTGGAATGGATTTTCATCATCATCCAAGTCAGCAATGAAAGATTTTATGATGTCATCAGTTTTTTGCCAGCTGTTCGACCCTATTTTGCTTATTCCACTTCTATTTGGTGCGACAACCTGTTTATTCCTGATTCATTCTTTTTCCCCCAACACGCAACGCATGTAAACTCATTCATCACAAATGCGTGATAGTTTTGATATATATTTGATATTGCTCGATGTATTTCCAGTATGCTATTGTTTTAATTGTTGGTCCGCAAGTTGCAACAGTCACACTTTGAAAACACCTGCGATCCACACTTGTTTAGATCTGCGAAGCGCATTATTATATTCTCAACATTATATTAAGGTGGTTTCCCATAAAGCAAATCAGTGGACCCAGTAACTTAACGAATCAACTTTAATCGATTTAGAGTAAAACTCGTACTTTCATGTACTGTCGATCTATAAGCAATCAAGAGATATGGAATGTGTTCATCCCAGTCTGTACGACTGTCATCAACAAACGCTTTACGCATCTGATGAATTGTATTATTCATTTTCCCCATATAAACCATCTGAGCTAGGCTAATATGGGTTATATCAATTTCGAACAATGAACGCACATGTTCAAATAACTGAGATTAAAAATTAACATCTTGGTCACAATGAATAATTCTAGGAACGTCAAATCTACTTAAAAAACTATGTCGCTATATTTATCGGGCAAGGGGTATGCTTCAACCCACTTAGTAAAAAACCCGGTAACAACCAAAATATATTCATTACCATATTCAGTTGTATAGGTATGGACCCTACAAAATCAAACTAAGCCTCAAAAGAGGCTCAGTGCAAATCATTTTACACATTTATGCACGATATTTACCATGCTGGGTTTTGATGGCAGTGCAAGCTTTCAAAAACGACACCAAATGATATATATTGTACATTCTAGGACTCTAGGTTGATAAAATCAATTCTTTATATAAGCGTTCTTTCCTCAAATGTCCACCAGTATGCAACTCATGGAGATATTCGAGCGCTGATATCCAACGAGTTACAATGCTTTTGGGATCATTGAAACTCAATAACCAACCTAGATATGAATGATCAGGGGTTAGAATTGGGCATTTTCGAACACTGGTGTTCGGAAATCGAAACGAAATTTTGTCTTCGAAACGAAACACACGGTTTTCACAAACATTAAAACCTGGCACCATTATTACGCCTCGCAGTTAATGTAAAATAGCAAATATTTTACAGGAATAAATCCACAAAAAGGAAGCAAATTCGAGAGCATAAAATGATAGTTGCAAATCACCTCATGCAAGTCATTCTTTTCCACAAAGGTTTGGGCTTGATGGCAAATCACTGACCGAATAACACGAAAACAGAGTGTACAAGTGAAAGTTCAATATCGTCAATTCGTGGAAGGCGTTTTCATCGTTGATCAGCCTATGGTGTATCTTACAAAGAATAAAGTTGATTTTGTTTGGACGAAGCAATGTCATAGTGCATTTGATCGCCTAAAAAACTTCGCACAAAAATGCACGCTCCGGTTTTTTCGTTTACACAGGAAGATGGTGAACAGATTTTTTTCGACACCGATTGTTCTATTTTTGGAACTAGCGCAGTTTTAAGTCGAGCGCATGAGTGTGGGGAGAAAGTTATTTTATTTGCCAGTGTAATCCTGAACAAAGGACATATCACGCCACCTATAGAGAACTATTAGCTGCAACTATATTTGCATATACTCTACCTTGAGGCGAAACAATTTACATTCTCCCGACTCGAACTGGCAGCTAGAATCTTGGTGAAAACTTCCCGCAAGCAGCTCATAGCTGAATTGAATCATCTAAAACTGCAAGATATTGCTTACGCAAAATTCTAGACAACAATTTGTCGACCAATAAGAGTTTAGTTAATTAAGACAGTCTGAATGCGGGTCCAGTCAATCTGTCTTTTCACGATCGGATGGACCTAGTTCGACCAGTCAATATCCACTCGTCAACTCTTAATGACGACTAAACCCACCTGGCACAACCGAGTGCATCTATGATGTTATCAATTTCGGACAAACTTCAAGCGTCCTTTATTGTAAAATAATTCAATATACCGAAATCGACACAAAACGAATAGAACCATCCTTTTCCGGAAGAGAACAATAGGGTATTGTATGGGTTTCCAAGGTGGAACTTTAATTGATTCAGGTGTCAATGTTTTAAACCTATGCTTGACCACAGAAGTTCGTACCAGTTAACCACCAGATCCAAAAAAAATATGCTTTAAATTCGACGTTGTTCAATTGTCACATTCTTTGGATCACTGGTTCTCAAAGTGAGGTCCGCGAGGCAATTTTACGGGGACCGCCAAGCGACATTTGACTGTGACACCTAAGCACTGCTGCGTAAATTTTTGATGGTACAGTGTTGCTCAAAAACACGACACCATTTTGAAGATTTTATTATACGCAGCAAACGTTGGTGAACGTATCAGGTATGCTACTATAAATGAATGTTGATCATTATTTATGAAAGATATGTGCACCCAATCGTAAATTGTCAAGAATTGACAGTGCTGTGTGAATTGTACATATTTAGGCTAAGTTGGAGCCATTTTGTTGCACTCCCACGCGAGATTTCAAAAGAAAAAGTGATGAAAAAAGTTTCAGTATAAAAATGTGCACGATTTTCTGCAAGAAGTAAAATCTGAAGTGCAGCTATTAAAACAAAAAAATCCGAAAGATAATGAAAAGGAGACATATTAGAGTTGCACTGTCCAAGACATCCGAAAATAGATGAACTGGTGGAAACCAAGCAATTACGCCCATTGAACTGTACTGATGACATGCAAAAAATGAATTATTTATATAACGTATTGCTATTCTAAATTCTTAGTAGACCGCGAGTCAACAGAAAAATTGTAACGGGACCGTTATGCAAAATTTAAAAAGCTTGTGAACCAAGTCTGAATTGTCAACACGCTTAGGTAAATGTTCTAGCAAGTCCTTGTTGTTGATCACTTCAACAGCTCCAGCTTGTTTCAGAGATGAAACAAATCTGCAGGTATATCAAACACCTCATTGCTAATACTAATAACCATCAGAGGAAAATGAGAGCATGAGAAATTCACCTTACTAGGTAACAAAAATAAACCACGGTGCGGATATTTCTCTCGAACACACAAGCAAAAGTTATTAATTATCCAGTTAGGATTCGGGTTAGGAATGCTTTGAATTTTCAGCGCAATCAGTATTCCCTAGCCCGAACTAGATATTTACTATTTTTATATTGAGCGGGGGTGTTTTTCTACGAAAAAGATCCGTCTTTTCTCTTTCTATCTCGGATTTTCTGAAGAAAGTTATACCTGATTCTCAAGAATCATTTGCTTTAAGTTCCCTCTCACATCTTTTTCCAGATGAGTAAACAAGTAACTTCCGGCACTATTTGGAACCAAATATGGAAAGCTTATCCGTGTTTCAAGTACTCAAGTAAATATATAGTATAGAAATCAATTTCACAACTTGTCTCAAGGCAGAAGTATGATATCGATTCTTTGAGATACTGTAGGCCTACTTGTTAACTGATATTATGTATGAAGTGTGTATGAGTATTCCACTGTTTTTTAAATATAATAGGGCTTAAACATAACGTTGAAAAAATGGCTGATTGGTGGAAATCCGATTCCATTTTATAATGGTCTTCGACGAGAAGTAATTCTGCGTCTCTGGATTGGGTTTAAAAGACTTCCCAGTCGTTACAATCAAAACTTCCTCTTTTACCTCTCAGCGACTTATCATTCGAATTAGTAGTATAAAATTTTATTCAAATTTTCAAAATCAGTTTTGGCTTGTTTATGCTTTTTTTTTTCTTCGCAAATACGATTAAAGCGATAAAAAATTAAAATGCTTCATTACAAAATCGCGTCAGCGCTTCTTCTACTTGTCGCGCTAAATTAGTTTATATGTATGTGTGTGCACGCGCATTGAACGCATTCTTTGGCGCTTCGCGAAGCTCAGGTAGTAGTTGTTATTCAGCTTCGCTGTACATAAGTACCTGTTTAAAATCTTGGACCTACGCGTTAGCGAATTTATATTTTTTCAAATAACAGGTTTAGGAAATACTTAACGACAACGAAGTAGCTGTGGGTATTATGGATGTTACATACGGCGTCATTCTATTTCTGCTAAGCTGTTTGGCTCTTCTGGACGGAAGCCAGGTATGATATTAGACCATATATGGTTTAATTTGCTATACTAGTTATCCATACTCAGTCATTTTTAACAAAGGCACACATAACAGCCCCACTGTAATTAACAGTTATTGTATCGAGTGATATTAATTTTAATAGTAGCGTCGCTAAGCTACTGGTTGTTTTAATGATGTCTTTTGTATATTTCAGGCTACTTGTACTTCATATAATTGTGGTGAGTACAGTTTGCTTTTCGGTGAAAGATAAATTGTAGTTTGCTGTTAAAAATTAAGTGAAACACGCATTAATCGAAATATTTTTTAGGGGGGTTGAGATTCTTCAGGTGATCTCAATATTCTATTACATAATGTATACGATCGGGAGTGCGTGTTTAATTTTGGCTTTGCTTACTTTGTACATACGTAATTCTTAAAATTGAACAATAGAATTGATTCAATTCCAATTTTGCTTACAACGGTAACAAAGGTAAAGTTTTATTAGAGTTCTGCATGACTCAGGTTCATTAATTTGTTGTATAATAAAAACGTCATTTGTTATATGCTGTTCATGAAATGACTCAATCATATGTCCAATATAAAACACGGAAGTTATTGATCAACGATTCATATACGCCTGCAGTTCCAGTATTTTGTCCTCCAATGATACTGGAAATTACCGTTTATAGACAATACCGAAGTTTTCTGGCACTACTTGTCGGTCAACGTTGTCTGTACCAGGAACCATAAAAATATGTTTCCGCATTTGGCTATTTCGTTCAATAAAATAATTGGATGTCATTTTAGCGCTTCTGTGTATATCCTTTGTCGAGCATATTATCGAGACTCTAGTTTCGCATAAAGCATGAGTTCGTATTCAAATTAGACGGCTGGCGATAATTTTCAATAATGTGCGTTGGAAGCCGTGTGGTCTAGTTTTCTTATTTCTCAAGTTAGAAATTTCTTTTTTAATAAACTTCAACAAGGAAGTTGTGAGCGATTCGCTCAATGTATCTTCTCTAATAACCGCGAAAGGAAGCTAGAGTGTGTTAAATGTACTGTTGAGAGCCAGTGCGGTATATTATCAATTGATCACCCATATTATCAAGTAGTCGTATCATATATATATATAAGGATGCCAAGTATGAGTACTTGCAAGTATTCGATTCCGATTCTCGATTCCTCGACATAGCCAACCCATTTAAACAATACTAACAAATCAAACAAGTGAGCAATGTTCAAATATATGGATACCATCATTGATCAGATTTTCATTACATATATACTTTATTATTTCTATGAAAGGGGGGGGGGGGGGATCTTTTGCTATTCCGGTCTGTTGGACTGCGGACTGTTCCATCTCTGAGGTGTAAAATTTACTATTTCAACATGCAACAAGTTTTTACTTTTCGTGATGCCCCTTGCTCCAAGTAAATAGGAGTAATGAACGCAATAAATAAGAGAAAATATACTTGAAATGGTCAAAATGTGGCATGTGCCCTTACCCGCGCAAACAAGCGAGAAAGAGATTGTAGAAAAATATAGTTGAGTTTTCAGCGTTGTAGCAATTCCACACATCAGTTTATACACATACGTGAAGAACTTGTCACAAAACTTTATACCTTGCTTGCAATCCAAGTTCTAACCCTAGGAATCGATTCCAATGCATCGGAATCGATTCTCCTCGATTCCACGACGAATCAGTAATCAGTAATTTATTTTTTCACCATACTGAAAACACACTGGATAATACAAGAAATTACAATAAATATGATAAATGCGTTTCAGGGCGAGGGAAGCCGCGAAAAACCAAAATAGGTTATCGAGCAGCGGCACCCATAAATTGAATTGATTTTGGAATAGAATACGGAGTCGATTCCGCCATCCCTAATCATATATACCTTCGTGTGAGTGGTGGAAATTCTACAGAAGTTGGGCATTTGTGTTTTCAAAGATAAAAAGAAAAGCAGGTTGATATTTTGTAATATCTGCTGCGCAAAGCAAATATTTGTTCCGATTGTACAGTGGTTCAGCCACGTTTGAACCTTCATTTTGGTCACTTATTTTGTACTGTATTGTCAAAATATTGTACATGGTGGTCGCAATATGTCTAGATGTGTGCCATGAACACTGGCCGACAACTCACTGGGTAACTCTATACTTAACTAATAGTTGTACCCGTGTAACTTGAATACGATATTTACTTTTGCAGATGGATACTGTTGCGGATACAACACCTGCTGTTATGTTTACCTGACTTGGTGTAAGTCAAGTTTGTATGTAATTGTATCAGTAATGCGGCCAGATAGGTACTCCCGTAGTGTGTGTACCAGGTTAGGGTAGGCCGTAATTTTATTCCAATTTTACTTATTTTGGTTCTATTACTAATTCGGGGACTGTCTGTGTTAGCCAATTGAATATACCCAGTGGTGGGATTCAGCCGGTGCGCACCGGTTCTATAGAACCGCCTCACGGAATTTTATGAGATCAGCGAACCGGTCAGAATTACTGGTTATTGTCGATGTTCTGTTTGTAACAGAACCGTCTTAAAAATATGACTTTTGTGAAGGAACCGGCTGACAAAAAATTTGAATCCCACCACTGAATATACCCACTGTCCGTAGGTTTCCGTCCCTTTACATAACTTGATGTAAAGTAGCCGAACAATATTATTGGTAAACACACTCCTTGAGCGCCGCCAATTTCTTGTTATGTACGATAATAATTAATGTAACCATTTCGCGACAGACTCGGATTTCATCATGGGTTAATTATCTTAAGCGTACATCATTAAGGAACTTGTAATGAATTACGGTCGTAACTGGTGGTAACATTACTTTCTTTCAATTTGATGGTATTCCCCACTTCTTTGCCTGTTACATATTATTACCCGAATAATTCTGCCAGTGAGGAAACAAATGTGCCGCGATGCACGGCGTCATCGCTATGTTTTGGTTTTGATATATATTATGCTTTGACAAAAGGCTACAGTATTTATATGAAGTGAGATATTTTCACATTTTTTCATATCACATGATACGAGTCTCAATCTGTTGATCATTGACAGATAATAGGCTTTGTACAAGAAATTCCCCCTGTCTTTAGCGCACAATTCTACTTAGTCTGGCGCACATACACGCACGGTGGGCGAGCTTTTCTTATCACTACGTTATTGTCGGTCTTCAGCAGCAACCGGGGTTACCGTAGCCTGAAGTGCGACAAGCAACAGTGATTTTACATCCCATTGAATTGTTGAATTGTGTTCTGCTCAAAAGAACTGTTCGTGGACGAATCGAGTTACTGAAATGACACTGAGTACATAAGACATATTTTCTATAGCATTGTTTAGTAATATTTTTGTTCGCATAATAGAACAATATTAAAGAAGAATACACACTATATATAGCTATCGCTTGCTTTGGTTCCGTTTTATGAATTCGGTCTTTAAAAAGCGTATATATATATATATATATATCAGGATTAAATATACATTATAATCATAGGTTTACGTTAAAATATTTGCCTCGTACCTGTTGAAAAATGGATCGTTTAGCAGAAAAACCAGAATATGATTCAGAACTGTGTCTCAACCGTGCGTGGGTTTATCTATCTAAACAAACATAGGCAAGCTGTCAGATTCAACGAATTCCAATTTACACGCGTTATGCTTCTGGCGTGCTTAGAAAGCCCGTATATAGCAGGTTTATAGGTTTACGTTAGAATTTTTGCCTCCTATCAATCAGAAAAGGATCGTTTACCCAAAGATCTAGAATATGATTCTGAACCATGTTGGTATGTATACACTGTACAGAATATTGGGCGAGTTGTCTACTTACGTTTTTATTACGTTACGACTTACAACAGTTACGAGTCTCCGCAGTTGAGCTGGTATATTTCATAGCAGGGTGCCTTTTATGGGTGTTGCCCGTATGGTCATATTTGAATCGGACGAAAAAATAATATGAAGTCCTCCTCACTAGTCCCATACTTCCGATTTTGTTTGTTGCGAATTTGTTCCTAATATAATATATTGAATCTCTCCAACTAATTTTTCTAAATAACTTACAACTTTTGTATCACTTATTCTAAAATGTTTGGAGAGTACATCAAGTTAGTACACAAAATATAAACATATATGGCACATTTTGCCTTGTTCGATCAAAAATATAGGAGGCCTAGGCATTATCTATTCTATCAATGGATAATTTTTGTTGAAGACAAATTTTGAAAAGTGAGAATGTGCTGTGCACAATTCACGAGAAATATCTTTTTTTTTTATCAGGGTTTTGGTTGATCATCCTCGGACTTTTCCTTCTTAAAGTTTGTTGCATCACGTGTTACGTTCGCCGGAGACGTCAAAGAGCGAACATGTATTATGTGCCTACTGTGGCACAACCATCCACAACTGTACACGTGAATGCCAGGGTTTCCATGCCACCGCGAACTGCTCCTCATGCACCAGGAACATGTCCGCCACACTATACTGGCCAACAACAGCAGGTGTGTAAAAATAAAAATTTATATGACATTGGTGTTTTGATACGTCGTGCGACTTTGTAGGTTTCCATTTGTACAATCGACAAAATTGTAATTCTCAGTAAAATGAAAATGACCACTGTTGCGCGAACAATCCGAGATAATTAGGGTAGCAGACGAACGACAGTTTTTACCAATGTTCAGAATATCAGATATAATTTTTCTAATATGTATCCCAGACCCAATACCGTGTGTTCTCGAATCACATCCGTGAACGGCGGAAATCAAACTAGGTTGTATGTCCCAAAACAGTTTGAAAAGCGCTTGAAGGTACGATATTGAGAACTCGGTGATTTTATAATTGACAGGCGGCTCGCTTACATTTGATTTTCGACCCTAGTTGTTTTCAAGTATTATTACGTTTCTTCATTAAGTATTTGTTTTGCTTTCAAGATGCCTCCGCCCTATCCCGGACCCCAAGCTTCCGCTCCTCCGGCTACAGGACCTGGCTATGCAGGACCTATGTACAATGGGAGTCAAGACAGCCAGGTCAACAAAGATACTCAAATGTTGATTGGATAAATTACGATTTTAAGGGTAATGGTATGCAAGACATTAGTCATGTCTCTCCAGCATTTTTGGACGTGAACTGTTCTTTTTTACAAATTTTTGTTTAGCAAAAACCTTGTTTCGTTTTGTAATTACTAATTCTATGTAGTAATTGTAAATATTTTTGCCTAACCCTCAAACGACCTGGTAGTATGTTACTTAAGTTCAGCTTTATGTTCAGTTTTATCTTATCTAGCTCATACATTTGAGAAAGTAGGTTATTTTTACGTAAGATTAAGAGTATTCATACGAGCAGTAGAGCATTTTGTATATCTACACTGTATATAGCATGGATGGCGAACCACTGACTTTTGTGACCCACCGCGTTTTTTTGGTGACCTGCCAAGGCAAGAATTAAATGAAAATTGACAAAACCGGCTCTAATTGAAGTCAAAAAATAAGTAAACTATGATAATGTACTATCAGCCAGGGCAGCGATCGTTCATATTCAAATTTTACTTTTCGGGTCGCTATACGAGAACTATAGATGCTAATTTGCATTTATTAGTTTCTCGTCTACAATTCCGTTAGACTTAAAATGAAGACCTAAAAATCTGAAATAAAAATGGGGCGGTGAAAAGGGCCCTAATGTGGATGAAAGCTGAAAAATCGAAAAATTTAACTCAGACAGAGTGGAATTCCCTCTAAACTCTTCGAAACCGTAAAATAATTTGCTATATCATCTTAAACGTTTTTCGGTAATCCGTATGCGTGTTTTCTTGCACGAATTTTATAAAAATAGAGTGCCATAAGGAGTCTGGTAGTCTCTGGTATAATTGCTGCATAAATAAAGCCCGTTCGCCATCCCTGATATATTGAATGGTCATTATGCTAGGTCTTCTTCAACACGTTCTGAAAGTTTCAATGCTTGTGTCGGTTTTTGTTTGCATTCTCTGTATAATTATGTAATATGCAATAAAAATGCTTTTTGTGCGTAAATCAGACGTTTTTTATTGACTTGAGCTCAACCGGTTACTGCTATCAAGAATTAGCCATTGTCATGCAGATTGCTGTGTGGTTAGGCGTCATTTGCTTGAACCTGGTGAACCCGACTGGTGGGCGGTATCACTACGTGAGACAAGCCAAAATGAAATGTATCGTACAGGTGCATGATTTCGAACGATAAAAAATGGTTTCAAAAGTTGCCTTTGCATGTAGCTCGAATATATTAAAGCATGTAGCTTAATTATATTAAAATCACACAAACATTTTCTGGCAAATTTGATTCTATGTATTTTTTCGAGATCTTTGGCGTTTAACGCTTGCAGAAAGTGGGCTTCGTTTGCGAGACTCGAATTTTCAAAAGTCAACCCTGCCGAGGTCGAACGCAAATTAGTATGTCCCGTTGATGACGTAGTACTGAGAACACGTCGGCGTAATTTTGCATTAGGTCGAAGGTAACTAATTAGTTATTATAGCGTTCTGTGCACTTATTTTAAACCTTATATGCTAGTTCTATTGGGCGGTGCATTTGGCAAACGCTGCAGTGGTTTAAATACAATCCAATCTCTTCAAATAATATCGTTGCATTATTAGAAATTACAGTAAACTTAACAAGTCGACGTTAAGATATACTGGATCTCTGTGTCGGACCTTTTGCGGTGAAATTATGTTGAACGCAGTTTATCAAATCAATTTTCTATTTATTTTAAACATTTCATGTCTATGACATTTCAGCAAGCGATCACGTTTTCATCATAATATGTAATTCATTAATGTCAATAAATGTTTCCTAACGAATCTCCATTAATTGATGTATCGTGTTATAAATATTGCATTGACCTTAAAAAGTGTGCTTTGTCATTCCAGGCATTCCCTATAATCTTCTGTATAAATATATCTATTGACTTGCAAGGGCCAACTTTGTTTCTGCGTGGACCTGGAAGTTACACAAGATGGAACTGGAAATCTCATATTCTCTCTAGTCATACTCCAACATCGTCCAACGACCTATCAACTCAAAATGTACCTTTGATGACATCTGGGCTGCGTTGATAGCAGTGTGAACTGGAACTAGTGCAGTTTCGTACCTTCAGTACTCCTAGTGGTCGTTGCATATGTCAAACCTGCCCTCCACCCGATTGCGTCATAATTACAGTTTTTGCTTTTTGTAGTGTATATATGTGGGATATATGGGTATATATGTGGGTCTATAGCGGTGTTTCCAATGCACGATTTCGCAAGCTGATCCGCGCTTTCATTTCCCAATATACCCACATGACCTGGAATCCAAATGTACTTAACATTAATACCTTATATTCGTTAATTAGTAAGCATATAAATTATTCGCGCAACATGATGGTGAAATGAACTAATGAAACATTCGATACTTTTGAGTGCACCTAGACCAGGGTGGTCCAAGGTTGTGGGCTCCGCGGGCCACAAAATTATTTTGGCATTGGTCGCGGGCCACATTAGTACCAAGAATATAGGTAAACAGTGCAGTAGGCTACAAAACAAGCACTTCTATTGTGTAAACACATAGTCATCAGGCATTGCCAGCCTAGGCTAATGGAATCCGCATTCAATTTTTAGTTATCTATTATGCCTATATATATTGTTAGCATATATCCCCAACCAAAACGATAGAAATCCAGGTACCAATTTACACTGCCCATCACATCATTCAACTTCGCTAGTTGCTTCAGCTAGCCATCATACTAGTCAATTCAGTCACAGTGGTGATATACCAACAATATGTCAAACGATTTATTTTATGAGAAGCAATTTAAAGTACGATATTTTGATTACTCTTCTAATGCGGCGCGGGCCACAGATAATGAAGCGGCGGGCCACATGTGGCCCGCGGGCCTGGGTTTGGACCACCCTGACCTAGACAATCTGAAAGTATCAGTGCCGAGGAAGGGCGATTTATGTTTATCCATTTCATTACCATACTTATCGCATGAAGTTCTGCAGTGTATGACGTTTGGTTTCGTGGCAATGAGAAGTATATTAGTGGTTTCACTTTGTAACACATAAATAAGACGGTGACCGTACATTTGAACCCACGTACATTTGAACCCATGTGTATATCAGTGGGTTCAATCTATATGCGGGTGCTAAAACCCATGGGTTAGGGTTAGTATGGGTTCAAATATCCGCAAAACACAAAAAATTTACATGCGTACAATAGTATGCAGGTGCAATGGTCGTGGGTTCAAATGTACGGGAACGAAAAAGAACAGCCAACTACTTCATCTGTTTTGGATCCGTCTGTGAAAACATATTATGTCAATACTCACAATTTTGATATTGCTCGTTGCAACCGATTTAAGTATATTTACAAGTTCGTAATCAACAGCTGGTTTCCTATCGTCCATGGAGCATCGTAATACACTGGATATCTTGATACTTCCAAATTCTTAAAAATATCAGAACTTGTAAACATGTTAAATGTTTTGAAAATAGGTGAATCGGGAGAGTATACCTGCCAAGATTCCTCAATTACATATTTCAGAGGATGATCATTTATAGAGATGAGGTTTAATTTATAATTAGGACACAGCTGAAGATGTCGAATGACAAATATTTAGCCTAAAGGTAATTCCTTTGTAGCTGCAAATAAAATCGAGGTACTTTTCAAAGCGCCGCAACATATCCTTAGACGCTGGCTTTGTGTTAAATATATCTTTTTTCAGGTAGGAGCTAGGAGCAAAAAAGAAGGGCTTCCATTCTGTATTCGTAAATAGGTTTTATTATTGATCGAAATAAAGCAATCAGTGCTTCCTCGAAAGATCCCCATGTTGTGCCCGTAAGAAGCCTTAAAATATTTATTCTTTTGAGAGATTTCTCATATATGTAATCAATATGATGCTTATAAGAAGTCGCTTATCAAAAGTCTTTATTTAAGTCGCTTATCAAGTCGCTCATCAAAAGTATTTAAACTCTGATTTTACTGGGAGCACTTTATAATCCATTTTTAATCTAAGAATAGGTAATCGTTGCACTTTAGTAAAAACCGTGAAAAAAAATCGTGAAACTCCACTGTTCGCACCACGTTCTTATCACGTCTAAAAGATGTTTATTTGGATTGAAGCTACTATTTTCCTAATTTGTGAGCCCGATTCCCAGATTGCTCCGTCGTCTGCAAATAATTGACATACTGATGACGTTATGTTAGTGGGAAAGTCGTTAGTCATTAAAGAAAATAGAATGGGACTGATCACACTGCCTTGTACTATTCCGTTTTCTTTTTCAAATATTCTGGATAGAGTGGATCCGATAAGAACTTGAAAAGGTCTTTTTCGGAGGAATGCTTTTATTCACACGAGCATACGTCCTCGAATACGTGTAATTTCAAGATGAGTCTAGCACCCTATACCATATCGTATTCGTAAGCGCTTTGAATATCTAAGAAAACGGCTATGACACCAAAAGACAATACTCTTTATCGGTGACAATGTCAACTTCAACTTTTCCATCGAAAAATTTGTATTAAATTCACTAGAAAAGTTGCTTTTGATAATACTAGATTTGGAGGTGATTCATTTCGAAGTCTAACTCGCGCGTAATAAATATATTATTATGGTGGGGAGTGCCGGCCAAGCTTCGAACCACATTCCAAACTTTTGAGAGACTACTCGTCTTGTTCAACGAATTACAATATTCTATCCAACTATTTCTCTTGGTTTTTAGAATGATCTGTCTGCCTTTCACTCTGTGCTTTTCAAATTCGATTATATCATTGCAATTGCATGTTCTTCTCATTTTAAGTATGATGCTTTGTTTAATCTAACAGCTTTATCACACTCCTCTGACCACCAAGGAACCGGCGATTTTTAATATTTTTGGTGTAAGGATTCCATCCCTTGAGCTGCTTCAGTCAAGAGGTATGATATATCACTACTGAAACTATCCACGTCGTCTGATATATAACAGCGATTCATTGATTCTGGTATGCACTTTAATTGAAATTTATTTCAATTGGCTTTTTCCAGCGATCAGGATGAAAATTGGATTGGATAAGAGATAGGTAAAAATAAGATAGGTAAAAATTATCCAGTGGTCGCTCCCGATGAACTGTCAGTGACGACTGCATTTTGAATCAATATCAAGCGTAGCAATAGATAGGTCTAATAAAGACCATATGTTTATAGCTCTCATGGATATATTCTTTCTTATTGTTTGGGAAGTGTTGAGTAAGTCTAAAATATTTTCTTCTATGGCATCCATGAGCATAATACCTCGAGAATTTGTCATGGAGCTCATCCACATCCGACGATGTGGATTAAAATCTCCAAAAAAACATTGATATACACGGAAAAGTTTCCAGCTGACATGAATATTATAGAATTTATGTGAACACTTCCTCCTTTCGAACTAGCAACGATAGTATTATGTATAACCTTTGTTAAAAATGCAAAGAATCGTATGAGATCTACAGTTACTTGAGGTCTTTGTTTTGGAATATTTTTGGTTCTATCCAGGAGCTCTGACTTTGTTTGGTCAGATTTATATGAAAATGGAAAAAATTTTCATGCCGTTGTTGACCGCATGTACCCAAATACTGAGCACTTGCACCTAAAGAAATGTCAGCAAAGTTGCAGTTTCTGGAGTTCTGGTATAGCTTGGTGCTTTCTCTGCCAGACTAAAGAATGGTGTAGTGTAGTAGATTGTAGAAGCCCTAACGTCCTGTATCCTGTTTTTTTAAGAGGAAAAGTTATCATGGGACAAAACAAGTTTTTTTATTTGCTTGATCATATGCTTTGTTATAAAAGATATATATGGTTGCGAACGTCGGAGTAATTCATGTTTTTGTTTGTACGAAGAATCTGAATCTGCGCTTCTTTTTTATATATCTTACACCCTGCATATGCAGCACTATGAAGAAGACCGCAACTTGTAAAATGTGGTGTAGCATTGCATGATGCTTGTTCGTGTTCCCACCACAACAGGTACAGCGCGTATTACCGCGGCAATATTTACCAATATGCCCA